GTTTTGTTTNTTTAATTCACCCAATCCTTTGCCCAGGTGGGTTTGTGGTTTTTTGGATTAATTTTGGAGAGAGGGGTTTTTTTTTTTTATTTAAAGGTAATCGGGAATAATCCATTTTAAATCAGGGGTTTCGAATAAGTTAGGGTTTTTTCTTGGTAAATAGTGGATCCGGGGGATACAGATCTTTTTTGTGGGCAATATGAGGGTGGTATAGATTTCATTAGATAATTTGTTAAATGGAGAAAGTTTTATTTAAGTTCAGTTTTCCAGTTCGTAAAACCATTTTGAATTTGATCATTGTCAAGCAGTAGAAAGATTTTTCATTTGATAAAAGAGAATCTTGTTTATTTTCGACGTTTTTAATGAAGATAGAAACAATATAAATCCTTCATCTCCCTTTTTCAGTTCCTTTTTTCTTTTTGGTATCAGTCTACTATATAGATATAAAAAAACTATTAAAAATGAACACCTTAAAGAATTATCGAAATATAATAATCAGAAAGTAAATGCCAATCGATATATGCACCAACCCAATTATATATATATATATATTTATATAATGGGATAAAATAAGTATACAAGATATAGTGACACTGTAAACACGATTGATTGAGTGACGCGCACGCAAACAGTGAATTAATAATCTTAAAATTCCTAATCTGCACAGAATAAAATCAGTTTATCCAGATAAATTAAGAGAACCGTAATATAATATATACTGATTGATAGTATTAGCGTATAATTATATTTACAACTATCCATTCTTTATGAGTGATGGTACATCTGAAACAATGAAAAATATAGAAAAGTACAAGAAACTTTAAATGGATTACTATTTCAAAGTTTTATACCTTCTATATATAAAGTTAAAAGAATTGTAAAGAATCAAAAAAAATAAATAAAAATGAAAAGTAAAAATTATAGAATTGCAATAAGTAGATCTTAGGTCATTCCAAAAAAGTGGGCTTTTAAAAAGGATAGTATAACGATGGCTTGCAATAAAATGAAACTAATAATATATAATTGTTGTACTATATATTATATTATATTATATTATATTAAATTATATCATGTAATATATTCTAAATAAAATAAAATACAAACGATAGCATATCCATCCATACTTTATTCCAATTCCGTTGTGTGTATTAGGTTTATGACTTATTACCCAAAAGGATAAATTAAGCAGTGGAGGGATTTGAACAATGGAGAAACAAAATGAGACCAGTGCCCTTATTTTTAGAAACAAGCGTAGAAAGAACGAGAAGGGCGGGATGAGATTTGAGATTTGAGATTTGAGAGAAACAAGGTGAAGAAAAAGAAAACACTAAGAATAAAAAAAAAAGGAAATTGGAAATTGGAAATTAGAAATTAGAAATGGGCTTATTACTGTAGTGGATCCAATTGCGATTCCCCTCATTTCGAATTGGATGTAATCTATATTACAGTGTATAGATAGAGTGTGGTGTTGTGCAGTTGTGACCAAGTCGAAGTCCAAGTCCAAGTCCAAGCTCAAGTTCAAGTTTTGGATGTGATATGCTGTATAATACCATACCCCCCATAATAGTTTCGAAGAGTGTCTGGGAAAAATAGGAAGGCAAATGAAAAAGAAACCCAGAAAGAACCAGAACCAGCATTATATAAAAATAAAAGGTTTGATAATGAGAAAGAGGCACAGAAAAGATATTGCCGATGACGATGACGATGACGATGACAAAGGAACTGTTACTGTAACTATGGGCGCTATGCGATAGCTATAACAACAATATCAGCTTGGTGGTAAAGTACAATAGAGGAGAAACGGACGGAGGTATAAAGGTTTACTAGGCGGTGCTACAGATATGGAGTCTGAAAAGGGGAAATCCAAAGGGAATGGAAGGGTTCGTATGTACTGTTTTAGGTTTTCATTCTTTGAGATTGGAGGAAACAAGATAGCTGAAAAAAGAAATGTTGTAACTCGCAATTCGCTATTCACTATTCGCAATTCCAATCATCATTGATACCAGAAAAGAACAGCCATAGACAAGAGAACTATATATCCCCTTTAATATTTCAATATCTCCAATATCATGATACTATCTATGGCAATGGAGAAATATAGACAAGAGGCGGCAGGCAACAAGAATATTTCCCCGATTTAGATCATAGGGGAAAGGATTATTTAAGTATGGGAGACCGTGTGACTAGAGGACGTGGGAGATTTCACACAACATATATTGAAATTTTGTTGGACAAATGACTAAGATTTTAAAAGGGTAATTAAGAGGTTTCTTTAACAAATTGGATTGAATTGGGTGGATTACGGCCTCTCCCCCCCATTCAAGTAATTATAAAATAATTCAATGGGGGGGTTCAATATTTTGACGTTCCAAAGTTCAGTTGTCTTGGTAACAACGAGGGACGGAACTCAGGAGTCAGTCATTGGTTGCGTACTAGGTTTGTTGCCCAATGTAGACACAACAGACAATTTATCGAATTTGTTTTCTAAATACTTACTTCACTTGGCTATCCCATACATATCCAATTATTTCTATTTTGGTTTCGTACCAACACAGTTTAGTTCTGTCCATCAGAGAGGACCCAAACCCAATCCAATGATTTATATTCTGGAGAGGGAGGGGGAGGCGAGACTACTTTTTCCAGTTGACTATAAATTTCTCTAAAAAGACAAATAAAGTAGACACAATCTAAACATAGTTTTCCTGATGTTTTGACGATACGGTGAAAAGCAAACCTCAATACTGGAAAAGTATGAAACCCTTAAATTTCTTAATTTTGTCCTATCAATGAATGCTTAATACTCCATGCTTGAAATATGATCAAAAAAGATACATCTACATCTGCATCCCTCTCCGTTCCGCCATCATTCTCACAGAGTCCGAACTTCGCTGGTAAAAGTCATGATTGGTATTGACGATTCCTCCGACAACCGGACAGCGTTTTCTCCCTTATCCGTCTCCATGTTTTGTGGAAACCTCCTTCCATTTACACCACGCTCGCTCGCTCGCTTGTATTAGCTTAGCCCCCCCCACAAAATATTATTCTTCTCTGTCCCAGTCCTTCCTTATTTTATTTAAATATTACTAATTATTGAAACCACCCATATAGCAGACATCCATGGGTCCCCCTATAAAACACAGATTTCCTTCTATGCCCAAAAAATCTGTTTCACATATGACATGATTTGATTTTGATTTGATTTGATTTGCAGAAACTCACACACACATACTTCAATTTTCACCTTGTGTCCATTTCCCTTCCTTCCAGTTATTTCAGACTTTTCAATTCATCCGAAACTTTTTTGGAAAACACCTAATTAGAGCCAAGACTTCTGTCTCTCTGTCCCCTACACCCGGGCGAATTTTTTTTTTTCACCTTTCGGTTCAATGCAATGCATCCATTTCCATTTAATGAAAACAAAACAAAACAAAACAGCATACAAAGACACATCCATCCATCACCACCATTTATCTGCAGCTTTCCTTCTTGCTGTATACGAGCAAAACAAAACACACACGCCAAAAATTACATAAACTTTAATCATCCCCTTCTTTCTCCCTGTGATTCTCTCCTTTCCGCCCCCTTATTATATCAATATTAATCACTATTACTCTTACTATTATATTACTCTTACTCTTACTGTATTGTTCTCCGTGCTTTCCCCCAGTTTCTTTGGCATCAAACCCAAACCAACGCCTGCGACGTCGTAAAGAAACGACGAGCAATTATCACTAACTTCTTGGTTCGGATTTCGGTGATTAAATGCGAATTATCGCACAGGTCATCGATCTCTTTAATCACTATCTTATGACTTAATCCTTTTAATAAGGTATTACAATTACAATTACAATTATCATTACAATCACTATACAATAATACAATATGCCTTGCCTTAGTTGGATTTAACTTGATTTCACTAACGAAAAAACATTTATTATGGTCAATGATTCACAAGACAATTGCGAGAAAATAAATTATCAAAATAATTTGATATATAAGCTTAGACTAATTTTTGTTTATCATTTTTTTTAAATTGTAATCCATTACATATTATATTTGTTCCTTTCTTATATTACTTTTAATTATTACTATTTTTTTTGTTCCCATATAATACTCAAAAAAAAGAAGAAAGAAAGAAAGAAAATTATCACTACTCCAGGGTTCCTGTTGTTAATTAGTACTGATCTCTAGTTGTGGTTTCTATTTCATAATCTCCCACTTTATTTTAAATTAGACTTTTTGATTTGAATTTTTTGTTATCTCTTATTTATTTGATAATTAAAAGGAAATATTAAACTGATCTACTTATCCCCTCCCCCTCGTCTAACGTTTTTTCCAAATCTGTCATCTTTTTTTTTTAATATATATTAATATTTTGCATTAACTATTTTTTTCTATTTTATCCTTTTTTTCTCTCCCCTACAAACATTCATTTATAATATATATATATAAGTATATTATATTATATTATATTGGAACAGAAAGGATTTTAATTATTATCATTTGCACAGAATACTATCATACTGTAACTATATAGTGTTTTAACCGTATTTTACCAAGTTACATTAATTACATTATCATTTTCTCCCCCCCCCCCCTAACCTGACAGAATTTTATAACAATTTTGAAAAGGTCATTCAAAGAAATATCATATTTTAGAAATTGGAATTGGAATTATAATACAATATAATTCAATATACATAAAAATAATTTAAACAAAAATGTCACAAAAGAAAAATTCTTCCCCTGCAATCAATTTAATCGCTGGTGGTACAGCAGGTCTGTTCGAAGCTTTATGTTGCCATCCTTTAGACACTATAAAAGTAAGAATGCAAATTTATAAAAGATCACATTCTTCAAATATCAAACCTCCAGGTTTCGTTAAAACTGGTTCTTCCATTTATAATCAAGAAGGTTTCTTAGCCCTATATAAGGGTTTGGGTGCTGTCGTCATAGGTATTATTCCAAAAATGGCTATTAGATTTTCTTCATACGAAGCATATAGATCTATGTTAGCTGACAAACAAACTGGTAAAGTTTCTACTGGTAACACTTTTATTGCTGGTGTAGGTGCTGGTATCACTGAAGCAGTATTAGTTGTCAACCCTATGGAAGTTGTCAAAATCAGATTACAAGCTCAAAGTTTGGTTACACCAACTACAATTCAAACTAATTCTATCAGTGGAGGTGCTGCAACTGCCACTGCTACCGCTACTGCCACTGCCACTGCTCCACAACCAAAATATAGAAATGCTATTCATGCTGTTTACACGATTATTAAAGAAGAAGGTGTATCCACTCTTTACAGAGGTGTCTCCTTAACTGCTGCAAGACAAGCAACTAACCAAGGTGCTAATTTCACAGTCTATTCCAAACTAAAAGAATATTTGCAAAACTATCATAAAACTGAAGTGTTACCTTCATGGGAAACATCGTGTATTGGTTTGATCTCTGGTGCTATAGGTCCTTTCTCAAATGCTCCTTTAGACACTATAAAAACTAGATTACAAAAGGAAAAAACATCTAAAACAGACACTGGTTCAAGTTGGAAAAGAATTGTTACAATTGGTAACCAATTGATCAAAGAAGAAGGATTCAGAGCTTTATACAAGGGTATCACTCCAAGAGTTATGAGAGTTGCACCTGGCCAAGCTGTCACCTTTACTGTTTATGAATTTATTAGAAAGAGATTGGAAGATACAGGTTTCTTTAAATCATCTGGTCCAAAAATCAAGAATAACTAGTTGATTTAATAAAAAACAATCATATCTTCTCTTCCATTCTAATGTGATTACTATTAACTCAGATTTTTTAATTATTCTTCAAAAAATCAAAAAAAAATATTATCTTAAGTGATAACCTTCGAGTACACTAATATTATTTTTAGAGTATTGTATATATTTTAAATATTCTTATTTCATAATGAAATCATGCCAAAATTTTTATGCCAATAATAACTAAAAGATGAAATTTCTTCTGTTTATTTGTTCAAAGATATGATTTTAATGATACTTGATTTTTGAAAATGTCCAGATTCGCAATCACGGAACGTAATTGGAAAGAGATCATATCCAATCAATCTTATTATAAAATGCTTCAAGTATTTGAATAAACAACAAATATTTTGAATCCTATTATACGCATATAAATCTCTAACTGTTTTCTAATTCCATTATATCTAATCTCTTTGGCGAGGTTTTACAATACTTCAGTCGTTTACGTAGTAGATAATTGATATATCCATTATATATATATTTTTTATTAAAGCAATACAACCCCTAAAATGGTCAATAAAGTTGCTAAATTTTACAAGTTATCTAATGGTTATTCAATACCATCGGTAGGTCTTGGCACGTACGATATACCTAATAATGTTACAGCCAATGTTGTTTACGAAGCTCTAAAAGCAGGTTATCGTCATTTTGACACAGCTGTCCTGTATGGAAATGAAGAAGAAGTAGGTCAAGGTATTCACCGATGGTTATTGGAAGATCCAGAAAATAATAGGAGGGAAGCTGTATTTTATACTACTAAATTATGGAATTCCCAGAACGGTTATGAAAAGGCTACTAAAGCCATTAAGAACTGCTTGGATAAAGTTAAAGCATTGGAATACATTGATTTACTATTAATACATTCACCTTTAGGTGGGACAAAATTAAGGTTAGAAACTTGGAAAGCAATGCAAGAAGCAGTAGATCATGGGATGGTTAAATCGATAGGCGTATCTAATTATGGAATGCACCATATTGATGAATTGTTGACTTGGCAGTATTTAAAATACAAGCCGGTGGTTAATCAAATTGAGATTTCACCTTGGTTAATGAGACAAGAGTTGGCAGACTATTGTAAATCCAATAGTATATTCGTAGAATGCTATTCTCCCTTAACACATGGTTATAAGCTTAATGATCAAGATTTGAAAAAAGTAGCAAATGAAACAGGTAAAAATGTGGGACAAGTTCTAATCAGATGGTCATTGCAACATGGATATATCCCACTACCAAAAACCAGGACCATCAATAGACTAAAGACAAATCTAGATGTTTATGACTTTAACCTTACTTCTGATCAAATGACAATTCTAGATCATCCTTTGTCATATGAGCCAACTGATTGGGAATGTACTGATGCGCCATAAGTAATACATTTTCAAATTTGAAAATAAATAAAGAAACAAATCCGAACAGGGTATACATTAAATAATGATATTGAAAACAAGGGAAACATTCTCTAAATACCGACAATCTAAAACCAATAAATTACTTTCTACTTTTATCAATTTCTATATTTAATAATAAATATAGAAATTTTATAATACATACTAATATTTAGTTTAAACGGAAATTGCTTTTTACGTATATCAATTTACCTTTTTTTGTTGATGTAAATTTTAACGCGTATTGAAAAAGAATGAAAAAATAAACAACGCCAAAATTCAAAACTTTTAATTTATTTATAGTAATAAAATGGTGTAGTAATATCAGTTTATGGTTGAAATTTAGGGATGAATTTAATGGCATCTTTTTAAAAAGAAAATAATATCCATCAACGAAGTTATTTTTAGCCCTGTGGAAATAGCTAAATTCATATTGAATCGTACAATTTGAAGCAAGGATGCATCCACGTCATTTCATTACCAATGGATAATGACAATGGCTCCGTAGAAGAGAAATCTTTAGAACTATATTTTGAGTTTAATCTTGCTGTTAATTTCCAAAATCAATTTTTTGATAGTTTTTATGGCTTTTTTATCCTTTTCTTTAATTAAGTTATTGATTTGTAATATCTGATCCATAGCCATTTATTTCATCATTACCTGTATTCCTAGTATCAAAACAGAATATTTATTCATTGGCAGATTTAACTTCAAGATTAGTCGAATATCTGGAATTTTTTCAAACAAATAGACATTTGTCTTAGAAAGCCAATTTCTATCCCACCATTTTATACATTCAATCAGGAGGACTTTTATCTTTTCAAAGACGTATATTTACACATCGGCATATTTATAAACATATATATAGCATAGATCTGGTCCGAAAATATTATTTAGAATTGATCTTTGCATCAATCATCCATAAAGTGTTTGTGTGATATATTAAGATTAGAAGGTATTGATAGATATCGAATCAGAGATATCTATTATGTCATTGTTTTATAAAAGAAAGCTTTCGGTTGCAATTCATGGATCACAAGACACCTCAGTGACACCAGAAAATGGGAATCAGAATAAAATAAAAAGGTCTATTTCGTTGCCAATCAAGAAAACAAAAACGAAACCAAAGAATGATATAACACTCTCAATTAAAAGAAATAAACATGATTTTGAATTTTTTACAGTTAAGTTTGACTATATTCCAAAGGATTTAGATGAATCTAACGATGATAATAAGAAAGAAGAATATCAACACTTGAAAGTGGTAAGGAATGAACTGGTACAGTTCATATCTCTACAGAAAGATGGCCTTTGTTTAGTAAAATCTATCAGTTCAATAGGAATGGGCCTGGTACCTTTTCATTATTTAGTACCAACAGAACAGGTCAAAGATATATGTTCAGATGAAGTGAAATTGGAAAAGGCGAAGTCACAAATAGCACCGTTACCACCAACTACACCATCCACCATTAACTCAAAATCGTTCTATCTGGCTTCAATTTCCAGATCTGTAAGTAAGTCTATTCCAATCCCATTGACAACGGATGCAGATATATATTTGAACTCTATTGAATCCTGTGAAATATTAAAAATCGAAATAGTGAATAATAGGTTGCTGTACACTATTTTTTTAAGAGATGTTATGAAAAAGAAGTTTATCACTAAAAGATACTATGAAAGTTTCTACAATTTACTCTCAAAAATAATAAAATATTCAAAGGGAGAAGTATCCTTACCATCATTACCAATACCATTTTCCTGTAGAAATGATATGCCTTCTCAATATATACCCACTGATGAAAGATTACCTGCAATGAATAATTTCTTAGCTGATCTAGTTAGCTCTATAAAAGAATCTTCATCACCACATTTACACCAAATTTTACATCTTTGGCTTCTAAAGGACGAAATTGATCTAGTTAACAGTGTCACTATTGACATTAAAGTAGTTCATGGTACTAAGTCCTATGAATTCAAGTGTAACGAAAATGATATCGACAGGTTGGAAAAGCTTAAAGAAGTAGTTAAGCTTAAAATAAACAAGTTATCCGACAATTATAAACTTAAAGCGAAGTTGGATGGTTGGTATATAGTACACCTTTCTGATGAAGATACTTATCGTAGTGTATTCGGTAGAACATGGCAATCTAAAGAATTGGATCTAGAAATTTTGTAAATATCAAAACTAATTTACTATCAATCATTAGCCTATAGTAAAATGATTATGTTTTCAGTAAAATTATCCCAATCTGTAGAAGTTACTTTTCAAGCAAATGTATTATTTTGTTTTAGTAATAAGAATGCTAACTGAATGATTGGGAATGTAATAATAAAATGTAGAATATCATTATTTTATGTAGTTGTATCATTAAAAGGTTGTTTCTTATCATTAAAAGGTTGTTTCTTATCTTTAAAAGGTTGTTTTAAAAAAAGATATCAATATATCTATAAATGCATATATAATCCATATTGTCTATAAAGTAATAAATACTGATAATTATGGAAAATAATTAAATTTTTGACAAGAATATCAGTTATAATATCAGATTAAATTGATGTACGATTTGAATCTCAACTTCAATGTCCATTTATTGTTGACCTTTTATATCAATTTTTTTAAACATTCCATATTGGCGAACAATATCATTCCTACAGGACTTCGTGTCCAAATATATATATTCTGATTCTTGTCCCAAATTCTTTTCGACTACATATTTATCAATTCCTTTGGATTTCAAAAAGTCTTTAATTTCGTTAACATCTTTAAATTGTAATTCTTTCATTAAAAAAGACATACTAATCTGGTTATAACTCTTTGATATTGTAACCAAAGACTTCAAACGTATTTTACTAATAAAAATATCCACTAATTTTTTAGAAAGATATTCTAACGAACCATAAATATTGAAAAATTGATGATAATTATTAGTAAAATGTGCTTCCGCTAATAAAAATGCACATCGTACCATGTAATTAGCAAATATATGCATTTCTTTAGTTAACAATTTTAATTTCAGGGAAGAAATTGCACTATTATTTTCAGTCATTATACAATAAAGGATCTTATAACATGTAAATTCTTCAATGTTGGAAGGTTTGATGTTCTCTTTCTCATACAGTGCAAATAATCTACTCTGGCATTGATTAAATTCCCCTATATCATCATTTTCTAATGCGAGTCTCGCATTAGTTTGATATACTTTTACTGTAAACTGATTTTCTATCATTTGAACTCTAAGATCTTGTCTCATTGATTTGAATTGGTCATTCAAGTATTTATATGATGTTTCCTTTTTCTTGGATTTCTTTATCAGCATCTCGTATGTTTTTTTTAATATATGAAGTGGTCTGACTAATTCAGGATTTGGATCAGAAGTTAATCTTAGATATGGCTTTTCTAAAACTTGACAAAGACCTACAATTTTTTTATTTTTATCGAATTTGTGTGAGGATGTGCTTATAGCATTCAAATTAGAGAAATCTTCATCAACAAGGCTATCATTAACTCTTTTCACAGCCTTTACTGGAGTACTAAACTTTTCAGCTCTTTTTCTCTTCCTTTCCAAATCGTCTACCAAGTCAAATGATTGAGAGTTATTTGTTAGTGTTGCCTTTTTCATTGAAGTTTTTAAGAATGAATTCATCATAACTTCATTCATGGGAAATCCAAAGTTATTATTATTTGGATTATAAACTGAATTCATATTTTGACTTGGAACGGCCATCAAACCATTCAAACCATTTAACACACCTGAATGTACTGGTCTCGGAAGGCTAGTTGGTAGAGCATCATATTGTTGATTGTAAATTGGATTGGGAACCAACGTATTACTTGAATTTGGAGGTAAATTCATAATTGGAGGAAAATTTAAATTGGGATTTTGAAAAGGACTAATCCCCACATTAGTTAATGTTGAATTGGTTTTCGTCTTCTTCTTCTTTTGACCTAATTTAAAAGGCGTTACCTGATTATAAGAATTAGACATGATAATATTCTAGACAAAATTTAGTCACTATATAACAAATAGATATAGTATAATGTCAAAGTACTATCTTCAAGTTTAACTAATATCAAATAACTTTGATTCCAATATATTTATAACAATTGTTTCTAGTGATAAACGTAGTAACGATTTAAATGGCTTTGATATTGTTTCCATGAACATAACGTACACAATGATATATATATATATATATATATATATAGAATATCAGTTACTGATGCTTGAATGGTTCAGGTACATATCTATATTAGAATGTCAAATCTATATACTTAATCATTATCAGTTAGTCAGAAAATTGTTCTATTAACAAGGGTATTTATTCATATTATATGATTATAACTCTCCTGCTTAATCATCATAACTACCAAAAGAAAGTAAACCACCGCCAGTTCTTGAATGTCTTGAAAAGTAATCAAAATCAATTGAAACTGCATTTGCTAATAACACAGCTCTCTGATCAAATGTTAATACTTGATTGCTTATGGATTCTGGTGGGTAAATTCCCTCAAAAGATCTTGTAGAATCGAACCTAACAATATAGACACCAGTATCAGTGAACAATTCTCTTCCTAAACCGACCCAATTTCTATCCACACCAGCCATTATTTTTCCTTCCGAGTCAGCAACTGGGAAATCGAAAGATAGAAATGGGGCATCTATTTCACCATACTGAGAGAATGACACATCTTCTTTCACATCTCTTTGGAATAATTCATAGCGACGTCTCCAAAGATGCCAATTCTGTATCGATTCACCTACCAAAATACCCACATCATCGGATTCTTGTATATTTTGAGGAATTGGCATATTTCTTCCTGGAGGTACACTGAATGTATTTGAAGTTATGCCACTATAATTTTCATTGGAATGTTTGTAATTATAATTGCTAATATCTGAAGGGGGCAAATAAGCTTTTATATGAGAATTGATCCACGAGAATGGTCTGTGAATTGTTAAGATAACGTTACCCCAGTTATCAAAAACGTCCACAGTAAATGGTCTATGTAACCTATAAAGTTGCCTTAAAATCGCTTTTCCGATAGAAAAATCCCTTTCCATCATATAACCAATTCTATTTCCCATAACATCCATTATAGAATATTTATTTGCTTGTTCAAAACCTAAAAACACGTTCATCATTTCTATTTGTCTTTCAATAATTACTGTCGGTTCGTTAAGTATCTGTGTAGCAATAGGATGATGACTTTGAATGAAGGTGGTATTTGGATTCGTTAGCATTGGAGACTGTCGTAGTGAATCTGAACTGTTCACATTCTTATTGATCCTTCTAAATGGACCATTCCTTACGCCATTTATTGAAGTAGATGACAAGAGTCTCTTGTACACTTGTCTGAACATTTAAACAATTGATGCTTTTAGCTATAATACCAGTCTAAGTTTTAAAAAACAGTCGGCACAATTTCTATTTTCTGAATAATGAAGAAAATTCAAAAAACATTTCTGAAATATCTTTGAACAACTTTGATCCGATTTGAATATTATTAAATTCGTTTATACCATTTAAAGGCATATAATACTAAAGTTATCATTTTTCAATTTATATTATATTTTTTCTATTATGTATGTTATCGGTCTTAAAATATCCTTATTTTCAAAAGAAAAAAAGAACATACTGAAATTAGTTACGAATGATTGGGCTCTAAATACAATGTGTCAGTGAATGCGGAAAATCAAGCTAAGAATCAAATATATTGTATTTAATGTAAGATCTATGAACTCATACAAGGAATTATTTTATTATTTTCTATTCTCTTGCCCATTCAATTGACTTCTAGTTTTCTTTTTTAAAAATTGAATACCAAAAGAACAGAATTCTTAGCTGAATTGTGAGTAAATAGATTTAAAATTATTATATTGGTGTAACAGTTGATATAATATTAGTAGACTGGATAGTATATTATATAGATATAAATATTGATTCTGTCTATTGATTGGAAGAATATATAAAACAATCAGTTTCATTCAATTTAATGACACCTGCTGAAACTGAGAAATCACGTGAAACAAATATATTTCAATCTTCTCGAACAGACACGTAAAAAGGAAAGATATTTAAATTATCAAAAGAAAATAATTACGCGTAAACATTGTGCGAATATTCTTAGTGCTCATTTCCTTCGAGGTTCGAAATTGCCAAAATGTATATAATAAAAAGAAAAGGTGAAAAATTAAATTAAATAAAAACCAAAAAAAGAAATTTTTTGTAATGTTAGTGATAGCTTATAGACATATATAAGCAGTTACAATTATGAATTAACTAATAGAAATATTTTGAACATTGTTTAAACATTTTATTAGTTTCAATTTTAATTATTGTTACTAACTGTTCACACCTTCTGTTTATTTCAGTTCATCCCCGGTCTTTTTCTTTATATATGTTATTCTTGTCTAGTATTTGTGTAGAGAGTCATTAGATTACATCTCGGTATTTGTATTTAAACAGTAATATTTATAGTTCACCATAAATATTAATCGTCTGTTTTAGATAATATCTAGTGCTGAGTCTTGGGTATAAGAAGGTTTATCATTAGTCAATTGTGTAGAGTTCAATTCAATTTGAGTATTGCCCTCCACAAAAATATAAGCACAAGTCAGTCATACTTTGAGTAACAATAATGAAATACGTTGTAGTTTCAGGTGGTGTTATATCTGGTATCGGTAAAGGTGTCTTGGCATCTTCAACTGGTATGTTGTTCAAAACTTTGGGTTATAAAGTAACTTCGATTAAAATTGACCCTTATATGAACATCGATGCGGGTACAATGTCCCCTTTGGAACATGGTGAATGTTTTGTCTTAGATGATGGTGGTGAAACCGATTTGGATTTGGGTAATTATGAGCGTTATTTAAATGTAACACTAACCAAAGATCATAATATTACTACTGGTAAAATATATTCTCATGTTATTCAAAAAGAAAGAAAAGGTGATTATTTGGGTAAAACTGTCCAAATCGTCCCTCATTTGACTAATGCCATTCAAGACTGGATTGAACGTGTTTCAAAAATTTCTGTAGATGATACTGGCTTAGAACCTGATGTCTGTATTATTGAATTGGGTGGTACTGTTGGTGACATTGAAAGTGCTCCTTTTGTAGAAGCTTTAAGACAATTCCAATTCAGAGTTGGTAAAGAAAATTTTGCATTAATTCATGTTTCTTTGGTGCCAGTTATTCATGGTGAACAAAAGACTAAACCAACTCAAGCCGCTATCAAAGATTTGAGATCATTGGGTTTAACTCCTGATATGATTGCTGTGAGATGTTCTGAGGTCTTGGATTCACCTACTATTGACAAAATTGCTATGTTCTGTCATGTCAACTCTAATCAAGTCATTAATGTCTATGATGTTAATTCAACTTACCATGTCCCATTGTTATTGTCTGAACAAAAAATGATGGAATATTTGGTTAAAAGACTAAACCTAGATGAAGTTCAACTAAGTTCGGAAGAAAAGCTTAGAGGTGAACAATTATTCAATAGTTGGAAATTAATGACAGGTAACTTTGACGATTCTATGGAAACTGTTTCAATTGCATTAGTCGGTAAATATACACATCTAAAGGATTCATATTTATCAGTAATAAAAGCATTAGAACATTCATCAATGAAATGTCGCAAGAAATTAGAAATTAGATGGGTTGAATCTTCAGATTTAGAACCTGAACAACAAGAGATTGCTAAAAAACAATTCCATGAGGCTTGGAATAAAGTTAGTACTTCAGATGGTATTTTAGTACCAGGTGGTTTCGGTCATAGAGGTACTGAAGGTATGATTCTTGCTGCCAAATGGGCTCGTGAAAATCATGTTCCCTACCTAGGAGTATGTTTAGGTTTACAAATTGCTACAATTGAATTCATGCGTAATATTGTTGGATTGAAGGAAGGTCAATCAGCTGAATTTTTCCCAGATATTGAAGCAAAGAATCATGTCGTTGTTTATATGCCTGAAGTTGATAAAGAAAATATGGGTGGTACGATGAGATTAGGTTCTAGACCAACTCACTTCACTGAAGATTCAGAATCGAGCACAATTAGAAGGTTATATGGTAACCAAAAATTTGTAGATGAAAGACACCGTCATAGATATGAAATTAATCCGGAATTCATTGAAAAATTAGAAGAGAATGGATTAATGTTTGTAGGAAGAGATGAAACCGGACAACGTTGTGAAATCTTTGAATTAAAAAATCATCCATATTACGTTGCTACCCAATATCATCCAGAATATACCTCTAAAGTACTAGATCCATCTAAGCCATTTTTAGGTTTGATTGCAGCTTCATCTGGTATTTTAGGGAATGTATTAAATGGCGAATTTGAATATAAAGGTAATTCAGATTTTTAATAGTAAAATTAGTTTAAATATGTACATAGAAAGCAAAGAATGAATAGTTTCATCTGAAAATAAGTCAAAGCAAATGTATGAATTAGTTGATCTTGCTATTTGCAATCGAATTAATTATTTTTATATAATATTATATATATATGAATAATTAAAAGTATAACGGAAAAAGAATAATTATAGAAGTCATAAACAGAGCAAAAATACTCTGATATATACCGTGAAAACATCTAACCTAGATTATGATTTAGGAAAGAAACCAATTGACATGAAACCCGATTTAGTATCCAATATATGTAGAACAAATCATTCTACAAGGAGGCGGCTAGTTAAGCTGAAGTGACACCAATAACACCACAAGCAGCTCTACCACCAGCGTTACCAGTTTTCAAGGATTCTTCGTTGCCACCTTGACCTAAATCATCGGTACCAGCATGGACAACAACAGATCTACCGATAATAGAGGTTGGACCAATCAATTTGACCAAGTTATCGGTCATGGAACCCTTGGAAACACCATTGGCATCAGTCTTGATGTTACCTAAATCACCAACATGTCTAGTTTCAGCAGATGGAGCACCATGAGTCTTTTTGAAAGGGTTGAAATGTGGACCAGCAGAAGTACAACCGTTAGTGACATCACCGAATTCATGAATATGGAAACCACGTTCAGCATTAGCAGTGTTACCTGGCATCTCGTAAGTGAATATAGTTGGAGCAGATTCTTCGGGTTGTTCAAAATTAACTACACCGTTAACATGGGAATCACTTTTAAAAATGCAACAGCTTAACCAATTTGGCTTGGTTGTTATTTGAATAAATAAGGAAATTTATATATATGAATACAAAATAATTGTATGTACTGTGTATAAGAATGAATATAACAAAACTTATTCAATTGAAATTTAATGAAAACCTTAAATTATCTGATGTATTGAAATAAGTATAACCCTTTATATATAAATAACCTGTATAATTTTTCAAAATTATTATTAATGAAAAAATTGAAACTTCCTATTAAGAAGAATCAGTTAGTACAATAAATGTCTGAAAAAAGAGAAGAGTAGAACCCCTTTGGAAGAAATTGTCATGTGTGTGGAAGTGTACAAGAGTATAAGTGTATGATGTATGTAGGCATTACTAGTATGTAAATTACGGATTACGGCTGGTTTCAATGCAATCTTGCAGAATACAATTTTTGCAATAGTTATCACCATTACTATTTGCTATGCAATGGGATAAGAATAGCATTCACTAATGTATGAATTGGAAAGTAGCATCATCATTGATGGAATAGAATAAATGAAGCTAAGAAATATTAATAGCACACTTGTCTTGCTAGAATTAAAAAGTAGGGCAAACCTAATAGGGTAAAAAGGGCCACAAGCTTAATGGGCATAACTGTATAGTATAGAATGGACGGTTTCTAGAATAGAGAAGGGGTTGTGAAGGTGTTATGGAATAATGTGTTGTAGTTCTAATAGATTTTTGTTCTTCTCAAAGAAGGATAGTTTGCTATATATTGCAGAAGAACGTATATAATTGAACGTACTCTAAACTACACTCTTTCTCTTAATATACGTAGAAAACAGGTCTGTTGTAAAAGTGGTTGTTGCTTACTTACTACGGTTTCAGAAAAAGAGATCCCTTTGTACGATGCCTTTAATCAAACAGCTCCGGGCTTGCTGTTATTATTCAAGGAATTAAATAAACTCTGAAGAAACCAACGGAACGGAGAAGCCCAAAATAAAATATATACACACCTACATATAGTTATCATAGCAAAGTTACTGCAGTATCATTACACACGTCACATGGGCAAACTACGCAAACTGTTTACCCTGCTATGGATTTAATTGAAAAATGTTCGTATGTCACGATGTAATATTTAAGGTTAGACGAATCAAATACTTTGCATTTATTCTAATGGAAATATATAAGATATATATATATTTTTTTTAATTCCGGCGGACATCATACGAAATTTTATATGTGTTTGTCATATCTGAATTTTTCATCAGTTCGGACAACTGTAGCTAGTAGTAGAGGGAACTCAACTGATCTTGTTGTGCACGTTTTACTCCTTTACGAGCCGAGAGATGAGAAAAGAGTGAGATCTTGGAAACAAAATAACAACAGCATTTACCTATAAAATGAAAATTGTGATCATTTTCGTCCTTATTTTTGTCTGTTATCGTGAAAAATGGGTAAACCCAGAGTCAATTGATAAGCTAGTTCTCCGTCGGGGTCCGTCGGCGATGGTTTCATTTTTGATGACTTTTTGAGTTTGCTCCATTGTATTAATGAGATTAGAGCGATTTATTATAGACATTTTTTAATGAATCGATTGGAAATACATATATATTAATAGTATTCATCACAGATCAGTTGTCCCTTCCTACTGAAAATTACTTGGATAAATCACAATAAGGCATAATATTTTTTTTATTGAATATGACGTTGACAGGACTACTCAGTTTTTTTTAAATATATATATATATATATACAATCAAGCCATTTTATATTTATGGGTTAAGTATCATATATATATATATATGTCTGAGATACCCTTCTAATATTTGTGGTTTCATTCCCTTCTTTTAACAATGACAGGAATTTTTTTTCTGATTAACGTAAATACACATCCAAGAAACTAATGAATTTAAATTGTAATTTGACTTCCTTCTCTACCAGTATAAGGGATTGAGTTGACTAGAGGTCCGATCAATAACATTTAAATACAGGCAATTGTGGATATTAATGTTGCATTAATATAACAAATAATGTATATTTAACCGTACCGAAGTTTCCTTTAATATAATAAAAGAGTTTATCATGAAATGATATATTTAACAACAGCTGTCACCTATAAATATAATTTAACTACAACTTAATTTATTTTATGGCAAATAATTTACTTACTAACGATTTCTCAAGGATGAAATTTAAAAATTCAAATATTGGTCACATGCTAATTGCATGTCACAAATCAAATCATGTGACATATAAGAAATTATATTTTCTGAGAATTTAAAACTCATTTCTCCGATGGAGATAAATTTTCAGATTGCTTAACAGATATTTTTGGAATTGATAAAAGAGGGTACCAACTAGGTTGAATTTGATGCTTAAAAGATGGCATTATTTTCATCACTGTTCTGTCATAGGATTTGGAACTAATATTAATGAGTGGAAGGCTATATTTTGGATAATTAACGGAAGAAAAGCTAGTAATTGGAAGCACTATCAATCTTGTTGGAATACTCTGGCATTTGATGTGCTCCAATATAACTCTGCAAGCCATCAAGTATGAAAACAGATAGTTCCCATTGATAGGCTATGTTCAATCTGCCTGTTGTATAACCCTAACCAAATTGTTTTTGAAATATACAAATCATGCAGAAAAAAAAAATATTTATTATTTGCAGACCAGTTGTAATAAACAGTACAGTACTATAGAGATAAAGCATAAATAATTCCAAGGAAGATTTTTTAATTCATTTTTGTCCTAATTTTTTAATTGTACTGTAATAATTTTCCAGTACAGTTCAAAGTACCTTATCTTCTGTTAACTTTACTTGATGCAACGAAAACTACTCTAAAATTTTTCGAAATGTCCTAATTTTTTATTGTTGCATCTCGTCAAAAATTACATTTTACAGTTTTTCCGATTATTTTATCAATATATTGCTGCTTTTTTCCTAATCTCATCGCTTTTTTTTCCTCTAAATATCCATTTTCTCAATTAAGCATAAAAAGCCTGTTCCTCACCTCGTTGCTTGACAGATCGCACGTATTCTACAGAGGGATGTCATTATTAGTAGAAGCTGCAGTATCTAGTACCAACAAGCATTAAAAGTAACATATCAAATAACCAATTTTGTGCTTCCATTTTCTAGGGAAACAAATCGATGGAGAAACGGAATAATTTTTTTTGCCTGATTTAATATCTATTAACACTGTGGTGTAAGCATCTTCAACAAACTGCCCCTCACACCAAATAAATATTTTCTACGTGTATGTCTCACCGTCTTCTGCCTTAAGACGATAATAATGCAACGTAGATTACTTATGCAGCAACTATTTCCTACAACCTGATCATTTCTGCCCTAACTTAATCTAGCTTTTACCTCTACATTAGTAAATTACTGCAGTAAGCATGAAGAAAAAAAATGAAAAAATTAAATCAAAAATCAAAGAAAAAAACAAAATCATTATTTGTAGTAATACTTATCCGATGTACATGGCAATACCTCCCGTTACCTACTCCAAAATTCACCACTGCCGCCATAGCGAAATTAAAAAATCCAAGTTGTACGACGAATTTTTAACTTTTGTGTCGAAAACGATTAGTTTCTTTTTCGAGTTGAAAATGAAAAAATAAGAAATGAAAAATTAGAAATTAATCAAAAGAAACGTGGTTTCCGCGTATTTTTCTGAGCACTATTCCATATTTGGCTAGGAAATATGAAAAGTAGCCAAATTCCTTCGTTTCTTTTTTTGTCGTTCTACTTGCTCTCCTTTCTTTTTTTTGTACCAATTATTCGAAAATATTTATATTTGGACAATTATTATATCTATTCTACAACATTGTTTAGTTGGGAATAATCAATAATTAATTACTGCCAAGTTGAATCGGATGAGAAAATTATCATCAAAGTTGAACAATTATATTTTTTGATCTAGAGTAACAGCGCTATAACATTGTTTTCTTTACAAGAGATTAAAAAATGTCCTAATTTGTACCAATTCAATAGTGAAAATTTTTATTAAAAACCATTTCTCCAACGGAACTATAAATACTGGCAACTTTTAATATACTATAACTCTCGAAATCAGATAATTTCATACCATCTCAATTTATTTTTCGCCTTCATTGGTGTTTTATTCTTTTCAAATTTTTTACAATAATATCTCAGGAACATTGAAAACTATCAATCTCAATAATACATTTTTAAAAATTATTAACTGAAGAAAAAATTGATAATAATATTAAAAGGAAGTTCATTTTGAATTATAAGCTTCTATAATTTATTATCTTTTTATTTTCTCAGATATTAAGATTTTAGAAACAATACCATATAAAATCTTTCATATTATCAAGTCAGAAAATTTTTTAATATGAAATCGTCAATTGATCAAGTTTCAGTTAGAAGCTTGGGTAATGATGACATAGGTGAAAGCTCAGGTAACTCTAAATCTTTTCAACATGATAAAGAAAAGGAAGATGCCATTAACTCTCAAACTTATGTTTTGAGTTCTAAGAGTGTAACAAACGATGAATATTCTGATGAAATTGAAGATTCTAGCTCACAAAAAGATGATGAAATTAGACCAGAAGACTATTCAAATAAATTTGCTTATTGGTTCTACTACTTCATTGATTTAATATCTGTTAAATCTAGTAGCAACGAAAAAAGGTATTGTTGCAACCTACCTATATAACGATGATTTAAGACCAGTTGAAGCTGAAAGAAGAGTTTGGACTTGGAAACAATATATCTTCTTCTGGGTTTCTGGTGCCTTTAACGTTAATACATGGCAAATTTCAGCAACTGGTTTGCAATTAGGTCTAAATTGGTGGCAAACATGGATCTGTATTTGGGTTGGTTACAGTTTTGTTGCTGTCTTTTTGGTTTTAGGTTCTCGTGTTGGTAACATGTACCATATTTCATTTCCAATTGCATCTCGTATCACCTACGGTACTTATTTTTCCATCTGGGTTGTCATAAATAGAGTTGTCATGGCCTGTGTTTGGTTTTCAACTTTAGGTTGGTTAGGTGGTGATTGTGTTCAATTAATGTTGAGATCAATTTTCACTAATAACTTAGAAAAAAAATTAGGTGATACCATACCTGACCCTGATTTGGATAACTATCAATTCATGTGTTTCATGATCTTCTGGGCTGTCACTTTACCATTCTTATGGTTTCCACCTCATAAGCTTCGTCATCTTTTTGCCGTTAAATCGTGTATTACCCCATTTGCAGCTTTTGGTTTCCTGATTTGGACTTTAAAGAAAGCAGATGGTAACTTGGCATTAGGTAACTTGAGTGGTACTGGTAAGCTAAGCAGCTCTGCAACTGCTTGGGCTGTCATTAGATCTATCATGAGTGCCATGGACAATTTCTCTACCTTAATTTTAAATGCATCTGATTTCTCTCGTTTTGCTAAATCTCCAAAATCATCGACTTACTCTCAATTATTTGCATTACCAATTTTGTACGCTGTTATTTCATTGATTGGTATCTTGTCTACCTCAGCAGCCTATACACTTTATGGTGAAAATTATTGGAGTCCATTGGATATTCTAAGTCGTTATTTAGAAAACTATACTTCAGGTAACCGTGCTGGTGTCTTCTTAATTTCCTTTGCCTTTGCTTTTGATCAATTGGGTGCCAACTTATCTGGTAATGCTATCCCAGCAGGAACTGATATGACCGCTTTACTTCCAAAATTTATTAATATTAGACGTGGTTCCTTCATCTGTGCATGCATTGCATTGGCAATTTGTCCATGGAAATTAATGTCTTCTTCATCCAAATTTACTACAGCCTTAAGTGCCTATGCCGTTTTCTTGTCTGCAATTGCAGGTGTCATGTTCGCTGATTATTTCATCATTAGAAAAGGTTATGTCAATATCTTCCATTGTTATACCAACAAACCAGGCTCTTACTACATGTACAACAAATGGGGTACTAATTGGAGGGCTGTTGTTGCCTATATCTGTGGTATTGTTCCAAATTTTGTTGGTTTCTTAGGTTCATTAGACGTCGTTGTTCCAGAAGGTGCAATGAAGGTCTACTATCTAAATTACTATATTGGCTATTTAGTATCAGCATTAGTTTATGTGATACTGGTATATTACTTCCCAGTTGACGGTGTACCAAATGGCGCAAAGATCAAAGATCGTGTCTGGTATGAAAGTTGGATTGAAGTTGAAAATTTCGCTAATGAAAGAGCTGCATTCGAAAAATATGGTGATGAAGGTGTTTTGAAAGCAAGAAACACTGTCTAACGATGACATTGCATGAACAATTGAAATAAATAAAATATTTCTATTAATCCTAATAATAAGATAGTTATATAACCGAGCATTAAAAGCTTATTCATATTTACTCTGTACAATTATATACTAATAACTCTGCATTTAATAACATACATAGCATTCATTAATATTTCATTAATTATTTATTCGTTATATGTTTGTATTTTTCGGTTAAAATTTACATAATCCTTTGAATTCCCACTGAAAAACGGCATGCCTAATATAATATAAAAAAGTTAGACAACGTAAAAATCCTAAAATGTGTATATAAGTATATAAAGTTGTGTATAGAATAAGTACTTTCGATCAAGCAATGACATGAATGTAATCATAGAAAAACCCAATGACATGCATCACTGAATCAGGATCGATATGTTCGTTAACTGAATGAATTGTTAATAAAACGTCCATATTAGCAAAAGATGGATGGAATCTATATATGTTCTTGGTTAAATTCCAGTAATGAGAAGTATCAGTATTACCAGTCATAATAGATGGGGCAACAATAAGTTCTCTGCCAGAATAAGCTGTTAATGGGAAAATAACATCTTCGAAGTAACCCTTAATAGTACCTGCAAATTCTCTCCAGACATCATTTGCTGGTGAGACAGGGGCTGGCTCTAAAGTGGATAGCGTTGAAAGGGTTATTTTACCACTCTTACCGGAGGTTAGAATATCCTTGCCATCTCTAGTTAAAGTTAAATCATATTTATTGGCAATTTCTTCAGCTTGCTTAATGAATTTTTGAATGGTTTCCTCAACAGAAGATTCTACAGCAATTCTTGAATTGACAACAAATGAAACGGATTCTGGTAAAGCATTGCTCTTCACACCACCTTTAATCATATCGACAGATTGGGAAGTACGGAAGAAATATTCTGCAAGTCTTCCTACTTTGTTGATTATGAAATCAAGCACACGTTGGTTAGCAGCACGATCTTCTATGGCATGTAAAAAGTCCCATTTTAAATTAGAATCCATTTTGGTTGAAAATTCAGCAGCACATTGGAAATAATCAGTAATTGGGTTTCTTTTCGTGAATAAAGGTTCGAATTTCTGATCTTCAATTAACTTGATTAAATCAGCTGCAATACCAATAGAAGTATGATCTGGTGGAACAGAAGAGTGGCCACCTCTCGTATCAATTCTGAATTCAAGATTTAAGAAACCCTTTTCACCAGTACTTGGAGAGGCCATCATTACACCAGCGATTTCACTGATACCTGACATACCCTCATCAACAATTGAGTAGATACCATCATGGCCATACCTTTCAAGCAATACCTCATTCAAGTATTTTGCACCGTAATTACCGGAAGCCTCTTCATCAAAACCGGATGCCAAAATAATTGATCTTGAAGGAACAAATTCAGGTTCATTCTTTAAAATATATTCAATTGTTTGTAAAATACCAATTAGCATACTCTTATCGTCAAAGGAACCACGACCCCAGATATAGTCACCATCGAAGTGACCACTGAATGGTTCGTGTTTCCATTCGTTCCAAGTCTTCTTTTCTACAGGGACAACATCTTGATGAGCAGCAAAAATGGCAGGTTTTAGAGTCTCATTATAACCCTTCCATGTTAACAATAGTCCATAATGGTTCACAGTTTCAACATTCAAAGAAGACCAAACTAATGGGAAGTCATTTCTCAACTGTTCATGTAATTTTCTAAAAGGCAACCAACCTTCAAAACTAGGGTCATCTTCAGGATTTGGCATTTTATCAAACATTTCAGTTGGAATACGGATTGCATTGGCTAACTTCTTGATTGAGTCATCACGGAACTCCTTGTTCTTAAACATTAATTGCATTGAAGATGGATTAGTACCATGTACTTTATCATATACTTGGCATTTAAACGGAGGTAAGGCTGCATTTGGAGAGGTTTGACTTTGAAATGCATACAAAGCATAAATAAAACCTACTAACAGCCCTATTGGCGTTAGGTATTTAATATTGAACATTGTTTCGGTGTTATATTAGCTTATTTGGGGTAAAATAGACATATATATTGCATCTTTTTCTTCATTTTGGTGGCTTAAAAAGCTAATGTGATTAAATTGTTTAAATTAAAAAATAAATATCGCTTGGCTAAATTACTCATGTTGAAAATTACATCAAAGTTGTCAAAAATTTGACTAAGCGAATATTTAAAATACAAATTTCGATCAAAATAAAGTGACAGTTCTTATAGTAATTAACAAGTGATTAATTCATTATGTTCGAATTATGGATGATGATATTCTCAATAAGATATATTGATTATATGATATCTAATTATAGAAATTAAATTTGAAAATGTTTCTCCCTCTCCTTTGTTTTAGGGTTTTACCTGATTTGATACATTGGAAGTAATGTGATGACAGTAATGTGAAGATAACAAATTTGGATAATAGTTATTTAACAAAATAGTTTCTTGGCAGAAAATCCAAATTCTTTAAATTGCCTAAATTCTTAAATAGAAAAATATCATGAACAAAGGGCCCCTCAAGTATATCAAAAAGGTAAAAATAATAAGAGGTCTTTTTTGGAATGCAAAGTTTAAATTAGTGGAAGCTGAAGGTAAGAAAATCATAATTTTACAAAATAGGAATAATAAATCATTTATTTAGAAGTAGCAAGTATGTGAAATAGTCAAATATGGTAATATGTTCGTTAATGAATAAATGAACTACCTCTAGAGGAGATAAAAAATATATCACCTTCCTTTAATTTTTATCAAAGATAATAAAAAATAACCGAATAAATAAATATTGTCATTAAGATGTCATTATATAGAATACAAAAAGTATTATAAATGGGAATATATCAAATTAGTTGGGTAACCGTGTAAGCCTGAATATTATTATTAAATCATTGTTTGAATGATTTGATGAATGAATGAATATATGATTTTAATTTTTTTTTTTTTGCTTTTTAATTTATGTGAATTTTCAACTTTAATTGAAAATCATGCATGTACTGAACGATCGACTCTTTTAAAGTTTGGTAGAGATAGATCATCTTTATCAGTATCATTATCTCCCTCGTATGGATTATTTTGAACTGGTAAGTAACTGTAATTTGGATTTGAAAGTGTAAATGCAGATGATGGAGAAATAGGATCTATTAAATTATCTTTTGTAATGTCAGTATTGTATTTCAAAAGTGGTACTAATGTAGAATCAGAGTCTTCTACATAATCATAGTCTGTGTCTTCATAGTCAAAATTGTTTGAATCAAATTCATCGGAATCATATGAATCATTTGAATCATCATCTACATTTTCCTCTTGTTTTTCAGGTTTTTCTAGATAGTCGTTTTCATCATCGTCTTCATCACAAATATCTAGCTCTTGTTCAAGTTGAATTGCATCTTCTTCAATTTTGTTGTCACAATACAATGGAGAGAATTCTACTTTATTATCTAGATCAGATAACTTTAAAGATTTTGAAAGTGGCAAAATAGGTTTGTTCATAATAACTTGAGTCGATTCTTCAATTTCGTTTTCATTAATATCGCTATTCTCTGGGAAGGATTTTGATTGAACTCTGTTACAGTATAATATGTTATCCATTACTCTATCTAGTAGATTAGCATGGCCTACTAATACTCTTAAATCAAAGGATTTTTTTCTTCCATTTCCAGAGGAAGGATTACCACATTCATTAAGTTTACATCTAACTTTTGAAGCTAACTTGCATTGCTCTGCAATGTCTGTCATTGTTGGATTTAATTGTGCTCCCATGATTGTATTATTATTATTTTTAGAAATATGCTTGTTTGTATGTTATGAAATAAAAGTTGGTTTTGTTGTTTTTCTCTATTATAGAGGTATGCCTTTTGGTTGATTATTATTGGTAGTGACGTTATTACTAATAGTAAAAGTCTTTTGGTTTGGTTTAGTTTAGTTTAGTTTCCAAAGGTAACAAGAATGGAAAGGTTTGTAAATAAAGAACGAATTTATAGATTTAAGAGTTGTCATGTTACTTATATATGAATACTCGATATCAATTCCAATTCCAATTCCACGTAGTGACGCTATGTATAATTATCCAAGGAAAGAAAAGTTTTCTTTTTTTAAAAGTTTTTTTAGACTATTTATTTTTTTTCCTAAGCGTTTCGTTATTGCTCTTACCTTCGAAAGACGTTTAATGTAGCGGAAAACCTCAAAACAGCTTCGACCTTAAACTTAACAATGACAAGTTGCAGAACTGTATACAATAAGGATATTCCTCTCTGGTCGACTCTTAGCCCAGCAAAGAGAAAACTAATAAAACACTCAGATACAGCAACTAAATAGAATAACCGATTTATTCGGAAATGGGGGCAATGTCAGACAGAACCCACCCAATAAAATGATTAGTATCGTTATCAATAGCTAACAATCTGTGACAGCTGGTTGTTTTAACAAGAAAGAAAGGGAAAAAGATGGGTAACCTCAAAAACACAAGATAAAGCATATAGGACCAGTTCCCTCTTGAAATTGTAAGAAAGCTTTTAAGAAACTAAACTAAAGTAAAATAAAATAAAATCTAGCAATAATAGGCGCTAAATCCTCGAAGGATGGAAAACTTTAAAAACAAAAATACAACAAAATACAACAAAACTGCAGTAGGTTATAATGAAAAGACACAAACAAGGTGGTATTTACATGGAGAATACACTGCAGAACAAGATACTGAAAGAATACAATATCAGACCCCATCAAATTTTGAATCTTCCTCGAGGTTTAGTGAGAAATGGGAAATTTGTAAAAACCAAAAGAAAGAAAAATTGCCATAAAATATGGAGGTGATTTGGGTAAGTTCGAGAGGACGCCTACGACAAACCTCAAAGGTTATAATTATAATTACTAAAATAGTAAAAGGAAAGAAAAATGGCAGTGAGAAACTTATAAGTGGTTTCGAAGAGAGGGAGGTGAAGTTCGGAGGAAGTAAGAATGATGGAGTTGAGGGGGGTGGAGGAGACACGGGAGAAATGTGGTGGGCACCAAGAGAAACAGATGGAGAGATGGAAAAAGGATAATGCGAAAACATGAATACTTAGCTATTCCAGATGGTGACTTGTGTTTTTCTCCATGGAGTTGTGAGTTCAAAAAAATAAAGAAAAAGAATAAATGGACGGTGTATATTTATGTTATATTATTTGTATTTGTGTTGGTGATTTGTTAGAAGAGTTCGAGAAATAACTGCTGGAATGTGCTATTGAATATATCTAGACATCTAGAATATTTACGTACAGATATAACTTCCGAGAGACAAAATAGAATAGAATATATATCTCTAAAAATTATGGATAACCCAATCATTTGCTGAAAACCCGCGCAGAACGTTTTGAGGAAACCCAAGAAATTGTAAATAAACTAACCTAATTTGATTAAACTGTGGGGAAATTAAACCAATCGGATAACGATGACAAACAGCGACAGGGATTGGTTGGTGCAGAATTCCCGTGGTGGAAAACAAAGTTTAACCACCGCATCTGCTTACTCTCCTCCGCTGTCGCCGCCCCGTCCAATACACATCCCATTTTGTCTCTTCTCTCTCTCTCTATTTCTCGCTTGTTTCTTTTACCGTGTATTTCTCTCCATATGATCCTTACTAAGAATATATATTTTGTTTTTGCTTTTTTTTTTCTTCTTCAAAAATAAACTCCCTTTTGTTCAATCCTTACCCCCGTCACCTCACTGGTGCAAGTGTTTCTTATAAGCCATTTCAGCACGAATTACGTTAACACTATGTTTTATGTTGGTTTTTCTTTCCGATGTATGGATGGGCTTGGGTCGGTGGGTGAAATATTGAAAATGTTAACTTTCCCCGAAATTGGTAAACAGAGTATGCTACGTTTGTCCAAAATCTGGGGTAGCGCTCTTTCTTTGTATTTCGACAAGTACAGGAGAGAGATACAGTGTTTTCTCTTCTGGTACATAAAGCTAGTGAGATTATAATTTTTTCATGGTACTGCGCTACATTTTTCTGTCCACGGCCGTTTTTTTTAAATTTGATACTGGGTTTTAGAATAACATATAGAGGAATGCTTAAGTGAGATTGATAAGTTTTGTAAGAACCCGACGCGGGCCGTTGAACCAATGAGGAGGGCCGGTGTCTCAATTGGTCCGAAACTCGGACTCCGGCTTAAAAAGGATAACTTGATCCAGTTTGTTTCGTTTTCGATGTTTTTTTTAAAATAAAAAATTACTTCTCAGACAATTGCGCGCACACAACCACTATCACATTAGGTTTTGGGTAGAATTTGTGTGGGCATTTCAATTCCCTGATCGGGATTCAATAGCAATAATAGGCTTTAGCATATATACTATTGGATTTTAATGAATTTCAGTCTTTATTAAGTGAACTTACATTGAACAACAAGAAATGAAACAGTTAGCTAGGTGCATAAGACGTATGGTATAGAGAAAGAGAGAGAGAGAATTGTGTTCATGTGTTCAAAAAAATATAAATGTTTCTATCCATTTTTATATCCGTTAATAAAACCATCACTATCTCTTCATCCATCTCTGAACAAAATCGGTTCAATCTTTAACTGATTTTATACAATATATAAATTTATCTATCTACATTTCAATTCCGTGTCTTTCCTTTCTATCCGCTTATATCTTCATCTCGAGATCTCTCGAGGTTAGCTAGTTCTAGCCAACCATCCATCCATTTTTTTTTGAAGCTGTATCTCGGCTGAGTTGAGTTCAGATTGGTGTTTCTAACTTTGAAGGCAAAATGAACGAACCCTCAAGAATAAAACAAACGATCAGTGCATAATTCCAAATAAAGAGACTTCTCAATTACTTCCAATGATGAATATTAAAACCTTCAGTTCGATTCATATGACGTTGGAAATGAACTGGTCTAATCGGTTCAAGAATATTGCAAATCTACAACTGTCAAGTTTACACGTACATTAACTCTGCCTCTCTCTCCCTCTGTTGCATTCGGTGAATACAGAAAGTATAAATACAACCATATGCATATATATATAATTGTAAAGCTCAAGTTACCCTATATTCTTTTCTATCACATGACTCAATATCCGTTGTCGTGAACAGCGACAATTGCGATCACCCGAATATCATGTGACCAAATTCTTGTATCTTAATCTCTCACCTTTTTCCCCCCTTGTCCATCCAAAATCAACCACGTGATAAAGAGTTAGAGAGAACAATTAGTTGCTCCGTTACCCTCTCTTCCCCCGAAGACGATAATGTCTCAGTACAGAAGAAAAAATGGTTTTATCGCTTTAAACAAAATTTTCTTTCTCGCCTTGCCCTTTAAATAACTTCTTATTGGCAGAACACAGCAACAACACAGCAACCAACACCATACTAATCCTTGCTTGCCCTCCACCACCTACTCTCCCATAATACAAACAATTTACAATATATACATACATACATACATACATACAATCACCTATCACCAACCAACCAACCAACCCCCAAATAATATATATTCAATACTCAATATCATTCATTTTATACCAATACCAATACCATCCCACATCCATTTATACAATATTGTTTTACCATACCTCTTTTACTACCACTTCGCTCTCCTTTTCTTTCTCTCTCTCTCTCTTTCTCTCTATTGGAAGGAAAGGAAAAAAATTTAGAAGTTGGAAACCAAACTGTCAATTTTTAATGAAATTTTTCATTAGTTTCTTAATTCTTGTAATCTCCCTCTTGTTGGTAAAGTTTATTTGTAGTCATTTTATAATTCACAATTCGTAATTCCAGTCCCTCTCTGTTCAATTCTATTTAATTTACTGTTATTCTCTTTTCAAGATTGCATTGCAATTCACAATAGTGCACGTCTCTATCCAGTTGTTATTTTAATCTGAACTTCAACTACAGTATCTTTTCTGATCTAAACAGTTATAAGGATATTGAAGAAATTAAAAAAATAAAAACATTACACACTATATCATTGAAAAATTAAAAATAAAAAAGATTTAGTAAGGAAGTTGAAATAATAAAGGATATTGTCTATTATAATTAACATCACCTTTCATTCTTTTTACTATAAATTTGTTAATATCTCTCTATCATTAGAAAAGTTTAAATAAAAAAAACCTATTCCTCATATTCCAGCTCAATTCAATACAACAATGTTCAGAAATAATAATAGAATAATCTCTTCCTCTTTTGCCGTGAGCAAAAGATGTATCCAATCTTCTATCAAGCCAGAAGTTACTGAATTATCAAACGGTATCTCTGTAGTTTCAAGATATAATCCAAATGCTGCAACTTCAACTTTTGGTTACGTCTTTGGTTCAGGTTCTGCTGATGAAAACCCATACAACAACGGTGTATCAAAGATTAACCAAGATCTTTTCACAAGATACAACAAAGATACAAACACTTTAGCTAACAAGAATGGTTTATTGTTGGATTCTGTTTTGAAGAGAGACTACCAATCTTTCTTAGCTACTTCTTTGAATAAGGATGTCAAGAAAAATCTATCCTTATTGAACGAAGCTTTTGCTAAAAATACTCAAGTTAATGAAAACGTCTTCAATTCTACTAAATCTGAAATTACTAACTTTTTGGAACATTTCGAAAACGATGCTGTATTCCAAAAAAAGAGAGTCTTGGAACATTTACACTCTACAGCTTACCAAAACACTCCATACTCTTTGCCAAAATTTGGTACTGCCGAATCCATTAATGATTTGATCTTATCTGATGTCCAAAACTTCAACCAATCCCATTTCAAAAACTCAAACGTCGTTATCGTTAACGATGGTAACGTTAAGCATGAAGATTTTGTTAATGCTGTAGAATCTGAAAAGATTAGCTTCGGTGCCGGTGAAAAACCACAACAAGTAGTAAAGTCTTCATTCTTAGGTTCTGAAGTTAGATTAAGAGATGATACTTTACCTAAGGCATGGATCTCTATTGCTGTAGAAGGTGAATCTACTAAATCTGAAAATTTCTTAACTGCCCAAGTTGCTGCTCAAATATTCGGTAAATACGTTGCTTCTGAACCAACTAGCAGTTTACAAGGTATTAAATTGTTGGATGCTGTTCATGAATACCACTTATGTGACGATTTCAAACACTTCTCCCTATCTTACAACGATTCTGGTTTATGGGGTTTCAGAACTGCTACTTCAAACTTCGGTAACATCGATGATTTGATTCACTTCACTTTGAAGCAATGGAACAGATTGACCATTTCCATCACCGAAACTGAGTTAACTCGTGCTAAACAATTGTTGAAATTGAAATTAGCTGCTAAAGCTGAAAAGAACATTCCAAAGTCTATTTCCAGAATCGGTAACTCCGTCTTAACCAACACTTTGAGACCAACTTTGACTGAAGAGTTTGCTGCTATTGATGCTATTACTGTCAATGACATCAAAGAATGGGCAGGTAAAAGGTTATGGGATCAAGATATTGCCATTGCTGGTACTGGTCAAATCGAAGGTTTGTTAGATTACATGAGAATTAGAAATGACATGTCCATGATGAGATGGTGATCTGTTGGAATTAAATTGAGTCCTGCTTACCTCTTTTCTAAATTCAATTTTTTCATTGTATTTTTTTAACTTACCAATTGAAAAAATAGTTTAAATTCTTATATTCTTCACATTCATATTCTCTCATGTTTATAAACTATCTGTTCACTAAAGCCATAACTTTTTTATGTATATCTATCGATAATGTTATGGTCCAATGATTTTGGCAGTGTAACTTCTCGATTTTTTCATGGCCTTACGTGATTATTATACATTATTCCGAAATATTTAAAGATTCGATTCCTGAAATGATATGTTTATTTATTATATAATAAATAATTTATATTTATTAGTCTATTTATATTACTATTCTTTTCGTATTTTGCTTCCTAAGGGACTGACATGGTTACTTTGCGATAAACCTTTATCAAGAGCATTAATTTTCTCAATATCAGTGTTTTCATGAGTTAATGGAGAAATTAACATGTTGGAATGATCAGATGTTTGACTTGATCCTGTTACTGGGGATTCAGTTATTATTCCAATCTCAGATTTCTGTTTTTTAGGTGTTCCTACTACTGACATTGATGAGCTAGAATTATCATTAACGACATTATACTCAAAGTCATCTAACTCCGTTGTTCTTCTCTTATTCTGTGTGTGAGAATCGCTAACAATTTTAGTTGCATTTTCTAAAACATCGGTTTTCTTTTCATCATTATTGGCATCATTGTTTTGTTCTTCAACATTCTCTCCATCTTCTAGATCTTCATCCTCATCGGTACTACTTATATCTGTATCATCTTCATTATAATCTTCATCATCATCATTGTCTTCATCGTCGTCATCATCATTCAGTAGAAATCCATTATCTTCAATTTGTTCTACATAATCTTTATCTATAACACCATTCTCGTCTTCATAGTATTCCTCGATAATAAAATTTTGATCATTATTCAATGAATCCATTTCGTTTCTGCTATTTCCATTGCCCATAATATCATTTCCATCCTCATCCTCATCCTCATCTTCAAATCCAAAACTAATACTCATAAATGAATCAATATCCTTGACGTAGGTAGATAACTCTTTTTCTAATTTTGAATCAATCCATGAAATCTTACATAATGAAATATTATCTGTATCATCATCTTCACTATTTATAACTGCTTTGCTTGTATCATTATCGTTTGTAGCCTGAGAAGTTTCCCAACTAGTGGTAACCAGACAACATTCTGTTAATGCTCTGACAAATTTTGCCAATTCATTCACTTTGTAATATTTAAATGGATCATAGCACAATTCACATATTCTCAATATTGTAAATGGGTACAAACCTTTCTCTAAGAAATTCGTTGTTATATAATCGCCTAATTCATTTAGTTCCTTCCTTTCCTCTATAAAATGTGAAGCATTAACAAAAATATCATACGGAATTGTATTAGTAATATGTTTAATTAAATCTGGCAATAATTGATCAGGTTTATTAGTATCCAATATTGATAGATTCCTTTTTTCTACAATTTCATTTAATTGCCTATACAAATTATTTGATTTTATGCCCATCATATTAGTATCGATATCATCTACAGTGACATCAGACGTTTCAACGATAGTACTTTCATTCATCTCAGACCGATTTCCTACTAAAACTAAAATAAAAAACACGTAAAACGTTCCCCTTAAATATAATAAATAAATAATCCAGTAAATTAAATAAGCCACTTGATTTCTGATCTAAATCTAAAGTCAATATCTCAAATCTTACCACAATTATTACAACTGAAAACTTCTAGCAGGAAACAAAACCAATTTCTTTAATCCTTTTCTCTCAACCCGTACCAGAGCTTTAATCCCCAACACTTAAAAATCAACAAAATAACAACTATAGATTGTTAAAACGACCTCAATATCTATGTATTACTGTTCTAACTTCGTGTTCATTGCTCTTTAAATTGATATTAACTGCATATATATTTTATATACATCATCTATAATATATATATATATATATTTTTGATATTGATAGAAACTTCGATACGATAATGGAAAGAGGCCTCGAAAAAACGTATGAAAATAAAATCTTGAAAAGTTGATAGAAATTATAAAATAAGATAGATGAAGAGAAGTATATTAAGATTGGTTAAGGATTACCGTCTGTTTGGTAGGTATATTGTGAAGGCAGTTGGTCAGGAGTTGGTTGTCTTTTAGTAGTTTGCAATGATGATGTACAGTAGGTTTTTGAAGTGTGTTTCTAGACCAGTTGCCAATGGGTTAACAGTTCAATGCAAGACTGTGAGCTTCAGGCCTAATGTTTTATTACAACAGATGGCTAATGTTAGGATGATGTCTAGTGGTGCTGGTGCTGGTAGTAAGAGCTCTGGGGGTAAGATTATGGAGGATGAGGAAGTTGATACCTGGTTAGCAGCCATTGAGGAATTAAAAGAAGAGTTTTCAAAGACAGGATTTAAACCTGAGACTTCGTTGGCACCACCAGGTCAAGCTAAGCTTGATATACCTGAAGAAGTAATTTCTTCAAGCAAGCAGTTCATTCCTTCTGAGAGGCAATTGGATGAAAGTGAAAGTTTGAAAGGTTTCGAATTACCACAACGTAAAGATCCTATATTAGAGCACGTTACAAATATGATTATGAGACATGGTAAGAAGCCGGCAGCTGAGAGAACGTTGTCTAGAGCTTTGTATATTGTGTTTTTGCAATTGAGAAAGGATCCTATTGAAATATTGAAAAAGGCTTTGGACGATTTAGGTCCATTGATGATCGTAAAGACTTTTAATACTGGTGTCGCAAAGAAAGCGGTTATTCCAGTTCCATTAAATCAAAGACAAAGGACAAGACTAGCCTGGAAATGGATAATTGAAGGTGCTAACAAGAGATCATCGAGTGAATTGTCTGTTAGATTAGCAGAAGAGCTAATCTCTGTCCATAGGGGCAGTTCATCCAGTTTCAACAAGAGAGATCAATTACACAAGACCGCTATTGCTCATAGATCGTACATCAAATTAAACTGAATATTCACTAAGAAAATAAGCCTCTCCATATATTAATTAAATTAGGGGTACGCCACCATTGAACTTCATGTATATATTTTTATCATTTCCCCATGAATAAAGTTTGACACTCACATGTGTATCTATGTATGTATATACGTGTTAATAATAGAATTATTCATTTTTCTTGATAGTATGCTATACCAATACCTAAAATTGAGCCTATAAAATTACAAACCATATCTAACAAATCAAAAGAACGTCTTCCTTGAGACAACCATTGTTGTAAGAACTCGCTGCTGATAGCAGCACCAATGGAACATATTACGAACGCAACGATATATTTATTAATTTCTAAAATACCGTTGTGGTAGACATTGCTACTATTGCTATTGTTATTGCTATTATTAATATTATGTAAGGGTAGCCATCCAGTGGGGCCAATATGACAAAATTGAGGGACTCTAAATTTTATATATTTCCCATCGATAATTCTATTGAAGAGCCAGGACTCAAAGGCAAACACTAAGAAATGTGCTAGTTTATCGTGTTCTGAAGTGAGCAAAGCAAATTGTTCATTTGAAGTCAAGCCTAAGATACACGAATAGAATTGATACGCTCAGGAAACTGAGGAAATACCATTTCTTAATGTTCAACATCGTTTATCGAATATCACGTTCCCATAAAGAGAAAGTAGATGAACAGAAGAGAGAAGAACAAATAATAGCTTGCTTGTAATAAATACAATTAGTCTAATACCAAGCTATCCATTCAACAGTAACCGCTACATCATCTCAACATATCAATCAAAACTTGTTTCTGTTGTATCATGTGTTTGTTCTGATCTGAATCTTGTGTATAATAACAAAATTGAAAGTTCCGCTGGGTCACTCGGCTAACTGGCCAATGTTTACCCAATTTCTTGCTGGATATGGCAAGGTCATGTGATATTCAGTTACCCTACGTTACACCAGACAAAATTGAAAAAAGCCAGTTAAGTGAATATGTCACATGTTCTTCAAAATATACACACGTGATCTGTAAAATAAGAAACGAAAGTTCGAAAGTACGAAATTTTCGAAATTTTTGAAAGTGAAAAATGTCAAAATGAAAAGAAAAAGCTCTCTCTCTCCTTAATATAAAGATGATTAAACTGAATATAATATAGTTTTATATGAATTGATTTAGATTTAGATTTAGATTTAATTGTTAAAGTTATATAAGTTCAGTGTCATATCTATTCTAATCTACATTAGTGATTGTATTTTGGAAGAAACAGGAAAAAAGTTTGTGTTATTATTGATCCTTTTTTAGTTCTTTTTTTTTGGTTTCTTCACAGTTTGTTGGATAATAGGGGTAGTCTTTCTCTTTCTCTATCTGTTCATCACTTTAAGGTTCATATATATATATACTATATTATATATATAGATAGATACAAACACGAATACAAACACAAGCACATTAAATAATAGGTAGATTGACAATTGCACAATGTTAAACGAAGTTGTGTTTCAAATTGGTTTGTCAAATGAAGAACAGGCCTTCTATGGGATATTGTTTAAACAACTAGATCCAGAGGATTTGGGTATAGTAACTGGTGAAGTTTTAAAACCAATTTTCTCTTCTTCTGGATTGTCTCCACAGGTCCTGTCCCAACTATGGGAGTTAGTTGATGTGAACCAAAAGGGTTTCTTGAATAAACATGAATTTTACGCTGCCATGAGATTGATTGCAAACTTGCAACAGCAACCAAGTTTAAATGTATCAAAGGAATTATACTCAATTCCTCCTTCGCAGTTGCCAAGGGTAGCCAATTCCCAATCAAATGATCTTCAACCTGCTAATACCCAACAGCAACAGCAACAGCAACAGCAACAGCAACAACAACAACAAATTCCATCTCCTTCTTCTAACGATATAGCAAAATTTTCTCAATTATTTGATAGGTCAACTGGTGGTAGTTCTTTATTATCAGGTGATAAAGCAAAAGATATCTTTTTGAAAGCAAGACTAGATAATCAATCACTTGGTGAGATTTGGGGATTATGTGACAGAAATGCTTCTGGTTCTTTGGATAAAGCAGAATTCGTTATGGCAATGTATTTGATACAATTGACCTTATCTAATCATCCTTCAATGAACCCCGTCCCTTCTGTTCTGCCTGCTCAATTATGGACAGCAGTACAACAAAGTAATAATGTAAATAGTAACTTCAATCAACCACAGCAACCACACGTTCAAGCAACTCCATTGAGCAACAACTCTACAGGTGTTTCTTCAACTTTAGGTAGACAACCAACTCTTTCTCGTGTCTCTTCCGGTGCATTTACAAATGCCGCTAAAGATTGGGAACTATCCTTTGAAAAGAAAAATCAATTCGATGCGATTTTTGATTCCTTGGATAAATCACATGTTGGTTCCTTGGGTTCGCAAGTTTTGGTTCCATTCTTTGTCTCATCAAGGTTAAATCAAGAAACGCTAGCCAATATCTGGGATTTGGCCGATATTCATAACAATGCAGAATTTACTAAATTAGAATTTGCTATTGCAATGTTCTTAATCCAAAAGAAAAATGCAGGTGTGGAATTGCCAGATGTAATCCCAGAACAATTACTACAATCTGCTGCATTGGGATTGTACCAACAATCTCAAATGTCTTTGCCATCTAGGGAATCAAAACCTTCTTTTAATGAACAACCTGTACAAATGACACCAAACTCTCAAATTTCTCCAGTACAACAACAAAATACTAATAACAGTTCCTTGAATGATCTATTAGCCTTAAATGCTTCTTTCTCCTCTCCTGTTAACCAACAACCTTTGGCTGATACCACTCCGTCTCCTTCCCAAAATCAAATGGTTCCTCCTTTGAAGAAATTTTCCTCAACTTCAAACTTTGGTCAAAATGTAATTAGAGAGGAAGACGAAAATATTGAACAAGACTTCCATTCAAACCCTTTCCCTGCCACTAATATTCCTCAACAAGTCGCACCACAAAGATCCGTAACTGATATTTCTAGTGGCCAATTCAAGCAAAGTTCTGTTCTTCCTCAAGTTCCACCTCATCGTGCGCCTTCTGTATCTTTGAAAACAGTCCCAAACTTTAACTCTCTAAATATTTCAAGAAACTCAACTGGTGGTGTTCTTCCAACAGGTTCTGGTATGCAAACAAGTACAAATACTCCTATGTCAAGGAATACAGATTTGTTTGCAGATGCTGCAGCATCTGCAGAACTATCTAGTGCTACAACTGAATTGGCTAATTTATCTAATCAAGTTAATTCGTTGACGAAACAGGCCAGTATTACTACTGAAAAGAAATCTAAAGCGACTCAGGAATTAAAGAAAATTAATGATTTGAAGTTAACCATAGAAAATAAGCTAGCTACTCTACGTGCTACACAAGAGCAAAACTTACAGCAATCCCAACAATTAGAAAACACATTATCTTCAATTGATGCTGAAAATGAAACGTTGAAAAACCAAGCTGTACAAATTGAAACAACTTATAACGCATGCGAAACCGAACTAAATCAGTTAATGCAAAGTCTTGCTGAAGGTCAGAAGAAGAATTTAGCCTTGAGAGAGGAAATAACTAGCGTTAATTCAAAATCAGCTTTGATCCAAACTCAATTAAACCAAAAGCAGGAAGAAGTTAGACAGACTAGATCTACAATAGATGAAACAAGTAAGGATATGGCGCTTTCCGTATTTACTGCAAGTTTCTTAGAAAATGAAATAAAATCTCTAACTGATAAATTATCTGTCTACTTAACAAAACACAATGAATTAGATGATTATCAAAAGAAGATAGATCAACAGCAAGAGCAATTACAAACTAAATATAGTGACTTAGAAAATAGGAGTGGTGATTTGAAAATACGTAGCGAACAGTTGAATCAACGTAATATGGAGATTCAAGAGCAAGAAAACTTATATGGGCAGCATATTGAAAGTTTACAAACAATGTTTGATGATTTGAATAAGAGAAAAGTTATTTATGATGAAGCTAATGAAAATTTAAAACAACAGCATATAGAGTATGCCCAAAAGGTAAAAGAACTCTTCGATAGACAACTGAAATTACCTGTAGAGGATGCCGAACGATTAGAAGAATCTCATGCTGAACAAGTTTCTAAATTTGTTGAGGATTCCGTTGCTAACTCTTCCTTAGGAAATGTAGCATCTAGAAACGAGGATTCTATATCTAACGACAATAGTATTTCAGATGTTGGTAAAGAAGTAAATGTAACTAAATCCATAACTGATGAACCTGTCTCACAAGAAATTGAGAATAGAGGTGAAATTGGAGGCCCTATTGAAAAGAATGTTTCATTAGAGAGTCAGAACCATATTCCTGGGGACTGGGAGTCAGCGAAGGTATCAGAAACTAAACCTAAGGAAACGAGTGTTTCTGATACTAGTTCTGATGAGGATGAGGATAACTTCCAAGACACTAGAGAGGAGTTTTTTGAATCATATGGTGATGTAAGTGATTCTACACCTACAGTTGAACGTAATGTAGAAATTGGTCAACCAAGTGCAACTACCATTATACAAGACCCTGGATATATCAATAAAGAAGTGGATATACCTCAAGTACCAAAAGGAGCTTCTCCGGTTACACAAACCTTGCCTGTTGAAGCTCCACTACCTGTTGAAGCCCCACTACCTGTTGAAGCCCCACTTCCTGTTGAAGCCCCACTTCCTGTTGAAGCCCCACTTCCTGTTGAAGCCCCACTTCCTGTTGAGCCAACAATTCATGATGAATTTGATAATGCATTTGCTGGTTTAGAACAAACTGCTGTCGAGGATCCTTTGACGGCTGATTCTCAGTTACAACCTAACACTGAAGAATTTGAAAATATTGAACATGCGGATTTAGAAGATGAATTACAGAGAAATAACTTTACTGAGCTTGATAACTCAGTTAATCCGCAATCCGGGAATGTTGGTAACGATGAATGGGAAGATTTATTTGCTGGTTTTGGAAACGCAAAACCAGCAAATAGGGACTTCCAACAACCACGACAAGATATTCCGGTACAACAAGCTAACAGTTTACCACCAACACCAATAAACCGTGGAGTTGCTACAACACCAAAGTCATTAGCGATTGAAGAATTAAGTGGAATGGGTTTTTCGAAAGAAGAAGCTACTAGAGCTTTAGAAAGATGTGGATACGATTTGGAATCAGCTACTAACTATTTGCTAGATAATGCATAATTGTTCTTATATTTTTTTCAACGTGTATTTTTGAAAATTTCATTAAGTTGTTCCAATAACCTGCGTAATTATTATTTTTATCTGATAAAATAATAAATCTATATAGTATGTATTATTAATTTCTATGTGTTAAATAATATATCTTATTAATGTAATAAATTTGAAACCGTCATAAAATGATTCAAGATAGATTATACTAACTATCCTCATGGTGATTGTTTATTATAATTGATTTTGTCTCTCTAATATGATTCGCTACTGCCATATTTTCTTTTTGAGCTTTTAGTTATTAAAATCGACGTTACGGAACATTGATATTTCAGCCCTATCTATCAATATAATGAGCACTCTATATCTAGTTAAATATATATCAATTGCATGATTGTAAAGGGCTATTTTAAGGTACCAAGAGCTTCACAATAAAATATTAAAACATTTCCCTAATCCCGTTTAGAGGACTCTGGTTTTTCAGTTTTTGAAGTAGACTATAGCTTTTCGATATATTTTTAGAAATCCCTATTAATAATGAATCAAATTTTAACTGCTAATAGATTAGCTCAACTTTCACAATTCCATCCAAGTTTAAAGGACACATGGTACCTTATTGCTGCTGTTACATTTAGTGTCTGTAATGAACCTCAGGAAATTCCACTTTTATATCATTATACTATAATGTTAAAGAATGAGACAGTGGTAGCTAATCAAATAACAATAAGTCAAAGAGTTATAGCTATGTTTAATGATCCTGTGGACTCGATTAAAGCAAAGGTCAATAAGATGTATTTAAACCCCAGCGAATATGATTTAAAGTTAACTGCTAAATTTCGTGAAGCTATTTTAAGGACAGGGCCCTTGGCAGGATTACCCAAGGCTATTAACTCAATGAATAAATTAGCAGAATACACACCACCGTCATTGACAAAAGAACATGAACCCATCAATCCATTTTCGAGTTCAGCTCATGATTTGAATACATATAAGTATAGTGTTGAAAGATTAAAATCTTCATTTAACAAAGAAACAGACATTGCATTTACTACAGAACGGGGATTGAAACACTGGAATAAAATCTATAACAAAGTATCTCCAAAGGTTGTAAATAGTCTTTACTCAGCCTATCCAGATTTATGGTATTACACTCTGACTAACGTCTATGGTCCATTGTTTTCCTATGATGATATTATTTCAAGTCAAGAAACAAGTCTGATTATAATAGCAGCATTGGTCCCTCAAGACGTTAACCCACAATTAAGAGGTCATTTGAAGGGAGCCATAAATTTAGGATGTAAGCCAGAAACAATTGAGGCTGTAAGAAACTTAGCTATTATGGTAGCTAAGTGGTGTGGTGTGTCTTGGAAGTCAGACGTTGTTAAACTATGAGAACTATTGGTTCAAGTCCCAAATTATTCTAGAGAGAAATCTAGCCTGGTGCTATATATATGCAGTGTTTAACATTTCATTAATTAGTTCATTATTCGTGTAACTTTTTATAAAATTAAATTATCACTATTTAATTCATTTCTTACCAAATAAATCTAAGGTAAAAGGTAAGAACCTGCTTGCTTTATTTTTCACTTCTAATGATTGATTTCCTTCCATCTCATGATCAGTCGGAATTGAAGCGTTTTCAGTGGTGAGTCCATTCATTTCATTGTCCTTTCTACCATACAATTGCCACCACCACTGGATTTTATTGAAATCAGGAAATATCCAATCTTCTTCTCCTTCTAAATCTTCAAGCCCCAGTTCATTTAAATCATTATAAATCTTTTTAACAGAAGAGCTCAAAGGAGCCTTGTACGTTTCATTAGTAAACTCTTTTTGTCTACATCTAAAGTAATCCCATACACTTCTTGTTTTATTTTGAATATCATTTTCCGCCCTTTCTTTTTCATTATTATACAGGAATGAGCCATATTGACAGGAATATAAATGATACACTAGTCTTCTCAAAAATCTTTCATTGAACTCAAATTGATCTGGATTCTGGATTACTAACTGATAAACACAATCTAGAAATTGTTGAAATATTGGAGAGGTGAATTTATTGGACTTGTAACCCTTCCTTTTCTTGAAATGATCTGATACCCTAGTTACAAAATCTGTCGAAATAATATTATTTGAAGAAAAACTCTTTATTCTTTCTGTATTTGTAATTTTATTATCATCTTCGTTACAAAGATTATTTGATGACATTGAATTATTGATCTGGGTCCCTGAGATATTAGAAAATAAGGATAAGTTATTGAAACCACTTGTATTGTCATGAAATATACTTTCAGAACTTAAATGACCACAACGTTCTAAGAATTTGTGTCCGAAAGAAAGCCAGTCTTTTTCAATCAGGACCATAAACCCTTCAAGAGTTCGGAAATAAGGATCTAAGCATATTTGAATCAAAGAACAAACTTGAGTAGTTCTATCCCAACCATCTGAGCAATGAATTAATAGATTTGACTTATTAAACACTATGGACTTCATTAGAGTGTCTGTTGAAGAAAGTATCAATTTGGTATACTTCAACCAGTTTGAAGATTTTCCTGTATTTAATGCAACTTTGTCAATTGGAAAATTTAAATCACCATCCACTAAGAAATTATCCACGACATAATTTAACGTATCATGCATGACATGAATGTTATCAATCCCTAGAAACTTTTTTTGGCAGGTAAGATTGAAATTATAATATTCCATACTTTCTGTTCCTCCACCTAATGCTGTTTGAGCCATAGCATTAGCGGTTGGTCTTGCATCTACGATAATATTTTTCATTCTTGGCGAAACATGGTCACGGTTGTCAATATCATCAAGCACTAAGAGGCTTGAACATTCAAATTCGGTTAAAACTACTCTTTCGTCTTGAACTGATCTCTGTTTTGTTATGCCTGGTAACGGTTGTGATGATCTAGTTATTACACAATTGGTCTTTTTATAATAATATGCTAAAACTGGAATTCTTGCTTGTGCCCTATATTTCCCCGCATGTAAGAGAACTGTATCTGATATATTATTTGGTACAATTAGTTTGCTTGGATAAGTAGATGAAAATTCATAATTTTCATTTATCTTTGATATTCGCCATTGAGAATTGCTATCATTAATATGTAAACCTTGCCTCTGGAATTCCTTCATAGGATCATAAATATTCCAACTATTAAATTGCGTTTCTATCTTATTTGGCTTATAAATGAATGCATATAGCTGTGAAACATCATCCAACACTGTAAGTCTCAGTAAAGAATCAAATACATCTTTGGCTTCATGTTCTTTCACAAAATCTAATGAAAATACAGTATAATCTTTCCCTATAATTTTAATGTTTACAATACTCCATAAATCTCGCCCTTGATAAAACTTATATAAATTTGGTTCATCTGAATCAAATTCTATTTCATCGTTACTTTTAGAATCACATTTGATCCTCGAGATCAAAGTACTACCTTGATTTTTAAACACTGAACCAATTGTTGGATACGATACCCAAAATTCCCTTGGTAATGAACTAGAGGAGAAAATCAAGTGATGTGTTGTTAAATGCAATTCACCCTTAACAGCAATCCCTTTTCTATGCAAAACAACATTGTCAACTTTAGTTATCTTAATGTATTCCATATGAACTCATAAATGCCAATACTAAAAATATTATAATTTTTCTACCAATTTCACTTCAAAATTCTTCAGACAAAACTTCCCCTCAAACTTTCAACTGACGTAACCCACGTATTTCAACCTGATCTGACGTTAATAAAGTATTTAAATTGCTTCAATGATCATCTATTGTAAATATTACTATCTTATTTCTCATTATACTTTATATATTCAAACTTTACACTGAGGCCTATCTGATTAAATCGATATTTGAAATCGAAATTCGTTTACTGTGATATTCAATCAAATAGTCATGTGACTCTTTTTCTTTTAGTCACCTGACTTGGGAATGCCAATTTAGGAATAGTAATGAGTTTGTAGTATGACTTCTTAATATAAGAGCGATGAGATGAGATGAGGTAAAGTGAGAATGTTTCAACAAGTTGGTCGAATCCAGTTGGTTTAAAAGCTGTAATTCGATATAATATGCCAAGATAATGGTAATTGAGTTTTTGCAATTGACTAAATGGGCATTGGTAAAACAAAATAGAGACAAAAAAAGAACTTAGAAACGAAAATTTACTTTAATTTAATTTAAAAAAGAGATATTTATTCTTTAATTCCATATTTAAAGCTATACTAAATTCATGTGTCGTGGATTCCATTATGGACAATATGGTACATTGACATGTTTTGTTTAGTTTTGTTGTGTTTGTGTTTTTGAGTTGTAGGAGGGATGTGGTGATAGTTTTGCTTCGATTCGAGCCAATTTGAATGTTTAATGGATATCATACAATCTTGATAGAATTCTTGCAAAAATACTGACTGGAAGGGAAAAAAATATAGTGAAGTGACTATATGTATTCATGAAGCGGAAAGATTATATCTTGGAACGTAATGGACCAAACAATCGGGAAACGTGAATTCATTTCTTTTACTCAACACGAAACATTGGGCCATAATTGGATAGGTCATAATAAAGAAAATTAAGAAAATGGGAATAGAATATCTTAGACATAACTCATAATATTATTAGACGTGGATGCTGAGTCTAATTATAATTTAGGGGGGAAGGTAATGATGATGATTATAATGATGATGGTGGTGGTGGTAAATTGTAATTACCAATTTTAGAAATTAATTTAATAAAATAATAATAATAATAATAATAATAACTTTGAACCCTTAGGAAGGGGTTGAAAAAAATAAAACCATGTAATGAAACGATAAAAATAATAACAGTGAATAAAAATATTAAACCAGAACCAAAAATAAATTGAATATAGTATCTTAGTGATGAAGATTTTAATGACGTTGTAGTAAAGGTGGAAATAGTAGTAAATTTGTAAACCTTCCTATGCTTGAATAATCCTAGAGAATCTAAATTAAAATAAAGTAATTTGATTGAACTAGAAACCAGAAACTGGGTGTAAAAATAGAATTCTTTAAGAAAACTAAAGAGGACACCCTAAATTTCTACTCACATTTGCATATCGTTTGCAATTCCAAAACAAAAGTTCCTTCTTTATAACGTTGGTCCTTTCTCTCACTTTCTAGATACTTCCAACCCACTGTGTTCTTACACCAATGACATAAAATATCACATACTATATAATCCCCAGTAATCATCGACCTTTTTTCAGGTTTACCTTCGATGACATTAACGACATGTTTCATCAAGTAGGCATTTCCAGTCTTCCCTCTATAATCTTTAGACATAATTTGCGAATATGATGATAAATGTGTTCTACAATGACGACAGCCATATGTTATAAATTTGCTTGATTGTTTCTTGAGCATCCTATTATCCCTGTAGCTAAACGCTGGATTATCCTTCAACGTCTCATATTTCACAGCCACAGGACTATCTATATATGAAGAGTAACGTAAACCCATTTCTTTTATTAAAAAATATATCAGTGATTAGAACTAGAATCAAATAATTTTATTCACTTCCTTTCTCTAAGAGTGCAACCCTTCTTAACTTTAATTCTATTTCAGTTCTATTTTGTTATAATATATATATGTATTGATGGGATAATCTGATTTGAATCCCCTTCGTATTAATAACTAGGTGTTGTTATATGTGTTTAAAATGTTATTGGTATTGATTGGGATGAGAAATACAAATTTTTAATCGAAAACCACTCACTTTCTTTTTAACAATTATTAACTTATTAGCTTATCGATTACTCCAACGACAATAACTACTTCTACAACAACAACCAGTCTTGTCTTGTACAAACCAATACCTTATTTAGTAATAATAATGGTAATAACGTAATATAATAAAATATAATGTAATATAATATAATATGACTATATTTTATAACAATCCTTTATATTTCTATTCTAAATTAATGGGGTCACAACTAATACTACTAATAATAGTCCTTGTAATAAAAAAAAATAAAATAATACTATATTATATTTATAATATAATATCTGTCTCAACTGTCAATATTAATAAATTAATAAGAATTGCCAAATAGTATAAATATATATGAAATCAGATAAATCAACTATACTTAGTTTCCTTTTGTCAAGAACACTTACCCTTTATACAATAAGATAATTATAATAGAATTTAAATGCTTGAAATATTTAATTTATATATATATATATATATATGGGTGTATTCTATGATATGATATGCTATGCTATGCTATGTATGTCAAGAAGTTCTCGAACAATACAAGTACAACTGAATAATACAACCATTCCAACAATTAGCCAAGCCAAGCCATAAGGAAAGGGATATAAGAGAGACAAAAAGAAAGAGTATAAAATATGTTTTAAGTAAAATTCGATTTAAATTTAAACTTAAATTAAATTAAATTAAATTTTGAAACCTACAAACAAGACAAGACAAGACAAAAAACTATACAAAACTATACAGCTTACAACGTCACTTAGGGTTATCATTAGAATTGAAATAAAACAACTCTCTCTATCTATCATCAACCGATTTATATAATGCAAAGGATAACAACATCAAGGAAGCTAAGTAATAATAGTACCAAAAGTTTAAAAGCAAACAACCAAAACCATTTCTCTTTCTTTAGGAGGTAAGGGTCATCATTATCGACATCAACATCATCATCATGTTGTAATAAACTATTAAAATTAGGCTATAAAAGTAAGCAAACTTTGCCTGATATGGGTTCCTTTTAACGTTGGGTTCCCTTCAAAAGGAGAGAACGGTTCGCTCTATACGCAGGACGTTATGAATGACAGAGCAAACTAGACTTGTAGTTAACCTCTAAAACTACTGTTTAGTTTAAATGTTACTTTACCTTTTTAAATAGATCATCCATATAAGGTAAGACGAAACTTGATGATTTCCTAATCTCGTTTCATCTCATCTCATCTCATCTCATCTCCCCCTTCCCATCCGTGTTGCCTGGATACTTAAAGGATGCATCTATTTAGTAGTTATTGTTACAACTTGCGATATCAGGTCTATCCATTTAATGGGCGATATTGCATTTAATGTTAATATTTTATGGACATTAGTATCTGTTCGATAGTTACATACACACTCACACTCACTTGCTTCCAATTTTGGCAAAGTAATGTCAGTAATTCCCTTAAAAATACCTAGATGATTTAAATGCGTCAGAAGATATTCTGGTTGGAGAGAGGGTTGATGCAAGAATTTACATGTATATGAAATTACAAGGGATTGTTTGATTTGTTGTATATATATAAATACATAAAATTCTGTGTGTTCTTTATGTCTTTTTAATAATAATAATTAGAATGGTAATATACAAAATTTCTAAAAAAAAAATTACTCTTATTTTTATCTTTGGATCCTTAGCTTTGATGAATAAATAGATTTATAACAAATCATCTTCTGCTTCAGTTATGCTATCTTTAATCTTTAATAAAATGGTGGTGTACCATTTATCTAATTTACTAAACTTGTCATAATCAAAAACAGTTTGACTTAGTTTTTCACTATCTCCATCATTGACACATTGGATTAATGTTTCTAGTAATGCAGATTCCCTTGAACCTGCAAAATTGGAATCTTGATGGTTCCCTTCTTGTAATGTTCTTGTGGCTGCAACTGAATCGCCAGCTGCTAATTGGCATAATCCCATTTTTAAATAATATTCCTTTAAGGACCATTGGCTTAATCTATTACCAACTGAATTTTGAATCAATTTAGAATAGACTTGTGCAGCATCTAGGTATGATCCATCAAGAGCTTTTAAGGATGCTAATTTTAATAAACACTTGTTGGTTAAAGCTAATGCTTGGTCTTGTGAATACCATTCACCCGCAATTTCATAACATTCCATTGCAGATTTATAATCTTGTAGTTCATTTTCCATTAATTCACCTAATTCAAATTTGAAGTTGGCACCTCTTCTAAATTGACCTCTTTTCGTGAAAATTTCGATGGCATTACTTAATGAATTTGCTGCATTTTGTGCATTTTTGTTGGATTCACCCGCATTATTACTACTTTTATAACATTTTGAAGCTTCAATAAATGTATTACCAGCTTCATCATCATTACCAGCTTTAATTTGATAATCAGCAGCTTTAACTAAAGCATCACCAGCTTTTGACAATTCTTTACGCAATCTATATAAATTGGCAGCTTGAACACATAAATCAGCAGCTTCTTCAAATTTACTTGAATCAGAACTACCAAAAATTTTCATCAAACCTGATGATGGAACACCTTTTTTATCAGCCTGATTTTAAAAATAGAAATAACATTCATTATTTATAATTTTAATATTAGTTAGTAAAAGTTAAATTCATCGAAGTTTATTTCTGTTTTGTATTAGCTTATTCATTGACCTTCTTTTTTTTTTATAGCTTAATAAAACAACCTGTTTGTTTCATCAAGTAGGTTTCCTTGAATAAAACATAAGTAACATACTCTTTCAATTAGTTCATTAGGATCAGACATAGTGGATTGATATATTCTGGTGTAGGTATTTGTAACTCAATGGTTGATCAATAATACCAAACCATCCTTAAATTTATTGCAAGTATTTATGTATTAATTGGCAACTCTTGAAATTTAAATTGAATTCGAAATAACGTTGGACTGTTGTAAGTCATGTGACTTGGATTTTAGATCATATATCACGAATTATATATGATGGTTTATGTATATAAGAGACTAAAGACAGCCGGTAGATGTATGCACCTGATTACATTAATCATAGTGTTGAATTGGGTTAAAGCTCATCATGAAGAATTGATTCTATAGTAATATATTTTAACTTGAACAAATACGGACCCTCATCTCTTAAAATTAGGTCTTTTAAGACTAAAGCAAGATTCTTTAGCAACCAACATGATATCTCTGTAAACTAACGCAACTTCCTAATAGAGGGAAATGGGCTGGGATTAAATTGTAGAAACTATGAGATAAATGAACTAGTTTGCTGAAGAAGTGAGTATTATTGATTTTACCTACTTCAAATGATGGTTGATCCATATGAGGATAGTAGTTGATTGGATTCCTCTCGGTGTCTAAACCAATTATCTCAATACTAGCTGACTGAAAAATTAATTAAGAAAAATACTCTCACAATCATGAGATTAAGTTGGTTATTCTATAGTAGTTGTAGTTATTGATTTCTTATATTGGTGTTTATTAAAAATTATTTGAAGTTAGGATTCCCATTGATTTCCGTCGCAAACATACTGCAGTCATCAATCATACTAGTGTCAGCATTTTGTCAAGTAGTATCATGAATACATACACTGTGCAAGATTTTTAACTTAATGCACCCAAACTTGTATTTAGAATGTGATTTTTAATTATAAAATTAAGATACTGTGTATTCCCAACGTATTTTTTACATTTAGTTGATATATTTTTATTTTTTAAGTAAGAGGTTATTTTCTTTAACCAAATTTAAAATCATACTCAAATATAAATCCAAAATTAAAAGAACTCTATTCACGATGCCCACATCTCCAAACAGAACATATTTACATACATAAATACTATACAATTATAATAGTATAACATTATAAAATATTACAAGAACCCAAGGTTTATCCATTCCACACCACTTGATCAAGCATCCTCACTGACCTTACGATAAGCCCTCCACAACCCAATTGACGTCAACATTAACACCAACACCAACATCAACATCAACATCAACATCAACAGCTTACACTTCTTCTGGTTGGCTAAAACCAAAGTCTTTTTAATATAAACCAACAAAGATGCCTCTGACTAATACTTTTCTCGTTACTATGACTCTTAAATTAATTAACTTTTCATTTCGAGCCTTTATCCGTTTACCACTCAGAAACGGAAACAGCAACAGCAACTGCAACAGTCAGATTAAAGAACTAAACTAAACTGAAGGGCTCTTGACAAAACTATTTAGACATGTTTAGATATCTGTCTGACTCATCGATCTGCTTTTAAAGCTGATGTAATGAATGAGTGATACATTTTTAAAACAGTAGAACCAGAAGTATCTGTTTGGAAGAGGAACTTTGACCTTAAGGATCAAAATGAGTAAAACAAGATCAAGAACTGTTTATTAATTGCATAACTTAGTCAATTAATGCAATTGATCACAAGTTTAAAAAAACTCAACAGATAAATTAGAATAATTAAATTTCACAAGAGTGTTATATAAGGATGGCTACTATCATCATATAGTTCCTTCATTTAGGATTGTATTCTTTATCATGTTCTATTCTTGTTCCATCTCTCGAATAGTAAACGTAATCGTATACTCATTACATATATATATACACTACTATTATCTATATCTTTTAAGGATAATTAATTAGTTCATCAAAGTAGTGAAGATGTCTACAGTTTATCAAAGTTTTATTCCTACTACTTCGACTTTCAACTCTCCTGAATTCAATCCTGAACTAGTCGAAGGTGTGAACAATGTGTTGGTTGTAGGTTCTGGTGGGTTATCAATTGGCCAAGCAGGTGAATTTGACTATAGTGGTTCGCAAGCTATCAAAGCATTGAAAGAAGCTAATATTAATGTAATTTTGATTAATCCAAATATTGCTACAAACCAAACTTCTCATTCGTTGGCTGATAAAATTTATTATTTACCTGTTACACCTGAATATATCACTTATATTATAGAAAGAGAAAGACCAGATGGGATCCTATTAACTTTTGGTGGTCAAACTGGTTTGAATTGTGGTATTGCATTAGATAAATCTGGGGTTTTACAAAAATATAATGTTAAAGTTTTAGGTACACCAATTAAAACTTTGATTACTTCAGAAGATAGAGACCTGTTTGCTAGTGCGTTAAAGGAAATCAATATTCCTATCGCAGAATCAATTGCTTGTGAAACTTTGGATCAAGCAGTTAATGCTGCAGCCAAAATTAAATATCCTGTGATTATTAGATCTGCATTTGCATTAGGTGGATTAGGTTCAGGTTTTGCCAATAATGAATCTGAATTAAAACAATTAGTGGCCCAGTCTTTGGCTCTATCACCACAGGTGTTAGTAGAAAAATCTTTAAAAGGTTGGAAAGAAATAGAATACGAAGTGGTTAGAGATCGTGTAGGAAATTGTATCACTGTTTGTAATATGGAAAAATTTCGATCCTTTGGGTGTGCATACTGGGGGATTCCATCGTCTTTTCACCTTCTCAAAACTTTGTCTGAAGAGGAATATCATATGCTTAAATCCGCGGCAATTAAATTATTAATCACTTAGGTGTAATTGGTGAATGTAACGTCCAATATGCATTGCAACCCAATGGTTTAGACTATAGAGTTATAGAAGTCAATGCCCGTTTATCTCGTTCCTCTGCATTAGCATCAAAAGCTACAGGTTACCCACTTGCTTATACAGCTGCAAAAATTGGGTTAGGATATACTTTACCTGAATTACCAAATCCAATTACTAAGACTACTGTAGCAAATTTTGAACCATCTCTGGACTATATCGTTGCTAAGATTCCTAAATGGGATTTGGCAAAGTTTCAATATGTCAATAGACAAATTGGTTCATCCATGAAATCAGTTGGTGAAGTTATGGCTATCGGTAGAAATTTTGAAGAGGCTTTACAAAAGGCAATTAGAGGCGTTGATCCATCTTTGGTGGGATTTCAAGGTTCTGACGAATTTGGGGATGAATTAGATAATGTGTTAGCCTTCCCAACAGACAGAAGATTATTAGCAATAGGTCAAGCTTTGATAGTAGAAGGTTACAGTGTAGAAAAAGTTCACCAATTGTCTAAGATTGATCCATGGTTTTTGCACAAGTGTATGAATATCGTTGACATGTATAAAGAGCTGGAACAAAATAATTTAGGAACAATTGATGAAAATATTCTAATGAGAGCCAAGAAATTAGGATTCTCTGATAAACAAATAGCAATTTCATTTAACAAAAATAATGGATCTAATATATCTGAATTTGACGTCAGAAAGTTAAGAAAACAATTTGGCATAACTCCATTTGTAAAGAGAATCGATACTTTAGCTGCAGAATTTCCTGCTCAAACAAATTACTTATATACAACTTATAACGCAACAAAGCACGATGTTGACTTTAATGACCATGGTATGCTAGTTTTGGGTTCTGGTGTTTATAGAATCGGTTCTTCTGTTGAATTCGATTGGTGTGCAGTCAATACAGCCAAGACTTTGAGAAAGGAAGGTAAGAAGACAATTATGATTAATTGTAACCCTGAAACAGTTTCTACTGATTTTGACGAAGTGGATAGATTATATTTTGAAGAATTGTCCTTGGAAAGAGTAATGGATATTTATGATTTAGAACATTCTGCAGGCTGTGTCATTTCTATGGGTGGCCAAGCTCCACAAAATATTGCCTTAAAATTACATGAACAAGGTTATAATATACTAGGAACTTCTCCAGTTGATATTGATAAAGCAGAAAATAGACATAAATTTTCATCAATTTTAGATTCTATTAATGTGGGTCAACCTGAATGGAGCGAATTGGCATCGTTAAATGAGGCTAAAAACTTTGCTTCAAAAGTTGGCTATCCAGTCTTAATAAGACCGTCTTATGTCCTTTCTGGTGCTGCTATGAATGTTGTCAATAATAATGATGAATTAGTTGAAAAATTGACATTGGCATCTGATGTATCTCCAGACCATCCTGTCGTAATTTCAAAATTTATTGAAAGTGCCCAGGAGATTGATGTTGACGCTGTAGCATACAAAGGTACAGTTATTGTACATGCAATTTCTGAACATGTCGAAAATGCTGGTGTGCATTCTGGTGATGCTACTTTGGTTTTGCCTCCACAGATAATAGATAGAAAGATTAAGAACGAATTAAAAGAAATTGCCGACAAAGTTGCCAAAGCTTGGAACATTACAGGCCCATTTAATATGCAAGTTATAAATGACGGTAAAGGTGTTTTAAAAGTTATCGAATGTAATATTAGAGCTTCAAGATCTTTTCCATTTGTCTCAAAGGTGTTAGGTGTTAATTTTATTGAAGTTGCAGTAAAAGCCTTCCTAGATAAAGAGGATGAATTGAAACCAGTTGATCTAATTGTCGGGAAATCATATGATTACGTTGCAACCAAAGTTCCTCAATTTTCATTTACAAGATTAGCAGGCGCCGATCCATTTTTAGGGGTTGAAATGGCTTCTACAGGTGAGGTAGCATCTTTTGGTAAAAATTTGATTGAAAGTTATTGGACAGCTATACAAAGTACCATGAATTTCAAAGTTCCATTACCAGGTTCTGGTATCCTAGTAGGCGGTGACATTAACAAAGAATATTTAGGAGAGTTATCTACATTAATCGATGGTCTAGGTTACAATTTATTCACTACCGATGAAGATACTAAAAAATATTTAGAAAACTATTATTCTGGCGAGATCAAGGTTATTGAATTTCCTAATAACGATAGAAAGAAACTGAAAGAAATATTCCAAGAGAATGTCATAGAAATGGTGTTCAATTTGGCAAGCAAAAGAGGTGAAAACATTTATGATAAAGATTACATCGCTAGAAGGAATGCTATCGATTTTGGTATACCTCTTTTCAACGAGCCTCAAACTTCTATACTATTTGCTAAGTGTTTAAAGGCCAATTTGAAAACTAAATTAGCTACATTGAATTCAGTCGATGTGTCAGTTCCAAAAGAAGTTCGTTCATGGGATGAGTATCTAGGATTCAAAGCACATTAAACACTACATGAATGAATATAATAACATATTAGACCAACATATGTGTATAATTTTAGCAAAAATACTCAACTAGTCATCATATTAGTAAGTACATATAATTAACAAAATTTAAATATAAAATCTAAGAAGAAAAAAAGTACAGACGATTTAACGGAAATTTCCATATAAAGCCTGAAAATTAATAGATGAAAAAATTAGCAAGGAAAAGAAATGAAAAACAGTAGTTAGAGAGAGAGAGAGAGGTATATAAAGAAGAGTGGACTCAATCAATAACATAGGTTTCCGTAATAGTTTTGATTCAAAGCTGCGGTGGGAGAGATATTGAAACTAGAGCAGTTTTTTTTCAAGATATTACTACAGAGATTTGGGTTTCTAAGAGCTGGTTGAGTAAAATGAGTAGCTACAGCAAGCAAGAGAAAGCTGATCCACTTGAATGGTATTATGATAATGACGACATAACCAAAGATGTTAAAAAGAACAAAGAGTATGAGCAAGAGATGTATGATAGGAGTCTTGCTCCAGAAGTTTTACCAACATTGCGACCAATTCCCAAGGGTAAAAATAGTGTTGTTTGCAGAAGACCGTTGGGTGACTCTACTGTTGCACCAATGAACTCAAAAAGAAGGAGATGATACTATTTAAAGAAGGTATCGTGTCGTCGTGTTTTAAGCGAATAATAATAATCAATGGCAGCAGAAGGAGGAGGTTATACTGCTTATCGGATAGATACATTTGCTTTTTATCTCTTTCCACCCCCCCTTAAAACGGAGCACTATCATTGATAAATGTTACCTCTCTAAGAGACAGGAATAAGTGGCTAAAGAAATCGGTTGATTCACAGTGGATGATAGCATTGTTACCGAGGCAAATAATGGTATTGGGCTAATTAAATTGCTTTGTTTTACGATAAACTATTTCTATTTTTCCAATTTCTATTTGAAAATAATGACAGATGTCATCAAATGTGTTGGTAACCTCGAATGTATGTTATGGATATTTTTACGGGGGAAGGGAGAGCTAATAGTGTTTCTCCAAAAGTTCCTACGACTGAAAGTGTAAGAACTGGATCTATTTAACTAATGGATGATTATTATAATTAATACTACTATAATTTAAATTAGACAATTGTATAAGTAATAAAAAGGAAAGAACTGTGATAATTTGTTATCTTGAGATATAAGAGTGCAACTAACAAGGAAAAAGAATTATGCAAGAAGCGGTAAAAATGCTGCCTTTATAAGTATTGGTTTGAAGACTTGAAAGAGAAGGAGAAAGAGTGAACAGTGGTGATGAGAGGTGGAGGGGTCGAATTAGTAAGTAAAATTTACGGCGATGTATTTAACCTTGGTTGTTTGAGTCCCTTGCTAAAAGAATGTTACACATGCAATGCAATGCAATTGTTGTTTTTGTTTTTGTTATTGTATTTGTTTTTTAACAATAGAAGAGATGCAACACTAGTTGTAGAATCACTTAGGATATATCTCTGTAGTCTCCGTCTTTTACTTTTTTGTTGAAATAAATTCGTGAAAACCATAATTGCCAAAAATAAAAATTAAAGCAACTTATTATTGGACAAAATTGCAAGGGGGGAGGAGGGGATAGAAAGGTAAGTCAAGATGTCTAATTGCGTTTTGGTGCGAAGATAAAGGCCTACCGTAATAATAATAGTAAAATACAATAATAATATCAAGTAGGGTTTAATTGAAGAAAGTTATAAACAACATAACAAATCTTGAACACAATGGGAATGCGAAAAAAATGCATGAGAGTTGGCGCAGGAGCAAGAAGGACAAATGAAGTAAAATTGTATATGATGCAATAGTTATGTTTTTCAAAATTGCATTGCATAATACTATACTTACTCAGCGATTAACTTTGCTCCTTCTTGTCTCTTTGTTGACTTCGTGTTGATTTCTTCCAAATGTGGTTAATCATCTAATTATTTACTTATTAAAACGTCAAATGATAAGATAAACAACTAAATGGAGAGTAAGAGAGTAAGAGAGTGGATGGGTGTGACACTTGTTGCTAGCGCCTGGAAAGGTAAGGAAATGTTGTCACTTGTAATAAAAAAAATAAAATAAAAAACATAAATAAAATTAACGAAGCAGAGAAACAGGCCTAATAAAGAGTATTCAATATCCCCCACTTACCCTCCCTTCCGTCTTTTTTTCTAATTCACCCCCTCCCCCTCTCTTTTTCTCGCACTTCTCCCAAATTCTTCTTGATGCACATCCACGACAAATAGTTAGGGGCCCCACACCTACGTACGGCAATTTTCATTTTCATTTTCATTTTCATTTTCAAAGCACAGAAAAGCACAGAAAAACACCAAGATCAATGTCCGCAGCACCAGAATCAGAAGAAGATCCGTCCATTACTTTTTTTCTTTTTGTTTTTTTTATTATCCATTTGTTTAGTTTCTTTTTTCTTTTGCAGAGTTTCGCTTACATGTCAACTACAAACACTACCGCAGCGCTAACAATCTTGCGCTGTTTCTCTTCTTTCGCTCTTCCTTCCTTCGCTTCCTTCTCTGATGTTCTCTTCTTGTATTTGTCTTAATCTTTGTCTCTACTCAGTCAGCCTGGTTCCTATCCTGTGCTATGCCACCCGAAGACAGTTCCGAACCCGTACCCGTAACCGAGCCCGTAACCGACAAAGTAATCGGAATCGAAATCGAAATCGAAATCGAAAAAAAATACACACACCGACCGAGAAAGCGCAGTACGAAATTGCATACACTAACTAACACAAACAAACCAAAAAGTAAAAGCTATATCCAAAAAGAAACGGAAAAAGAAAAAATAGTGTTAAAAAAACTAACCGAAATACTAAAAATCAAGAAAGTTAAGACAAATCGCGCACAACTTGTCTCTTTTTTTTGCCAAATTTGAAAAAAAATCTTAAATCAAGTTCAAATTCAAATTCAAAATCAAAATCATAACTTAAGTTCGAAAAGAAAAACAGTTCCTAGTATATATAAAAAGAATTAGCTTAATTCTCAATACCATGATTTGGAATTTTAAAGATATATATATATATGTTCGTTTGTCTGACCTTCATATTTTTGGTATCATTGGTAGTTTTTTTTAGATTCATACATTACTGGTTCTTTGTTTTTATTTGGACAAATAGTGGATTTTTGTCGTCAGAATTTGTTCCTTTCCTTTTTTAAGAGAGACCTTAGGAGATATAATTAATCTATTCAGAAGTGCAGTGCAGTGCAAGGGTTCCTGTTTTTGAATTGAGTTGGATTGAAGTGAATTTAGACCAGATTAAATTAGTTTCTTAGTTTTGTAGTCGTTGACAGGTGGAGATTCACACAATTATTAAGGTATATTGTATTTACTGTCCATTGTACTTTTATTGAACATCGATAGATCGGTGTAAAGAGAACTAACATATATCCTTATTTCATCACTTAAAGAGTTTAGATCAGTGTCTGTATATTATTCATATATAAGTACTGATTTCATATTTTTAGACCTTTACTGAAAAATTAAATCTAAAACTAACCAGCGGTATATCACACATCGTAGCACAGCATCTTATTTTTGGGATATTCAAAAAAATAAAGAAGCATATACATACTTATACTCGCCGTTAAGAGTTAACTTAATATTATAGACATGGGTCTTTGTGGGTCGAAGGATGATTCCACAACTTCTGATTCGAATCAGGTAAATGAGAAGACCAGAAATCGCTCGAATTTGAAGTCCGGTAAACTAGCCAAATCTGGAAAAGATTCCGGCACAACTACGTTGCAGCATCAGCATCAACAAAATAGTAATAACAATAATACAACAAGTACAACGATAGACATAAAACTAGGTAATATTAATACCAATAGCAATAATAACAACAAGAATTCAACGAATATTGCTAACAATCATGGTGATTACAAAAGTAGTCAACTAAATTCACAAAGCGGTGGATCAACTACTCCAAATGATGATACTACTACAAGTACAGATTTAGATGAGATGTTGAAAAATCCAAACGTTAATATGAGTAATAACAGTGATCTTTCTTTAACAAACGTATCAACTGGAAATACTGAACAGATTGATGTTTCAAATAAAAATGACCCAATGGCAAAAGTCTTACTTTTAGGTGCTGGTGAATCTGGTAAGTCAACTATTTTGCAACAATTAAAAATTTTACATCAAAATGGTTTCAGCGATAAAGAAAGAATATCTTATAGAAGCGCTATTTATGATAACTTGACTGAAATAGGAAGAGATCTGATAGGTGCCCGTCAAAAGTTTAATCTACAAATTGATAGTAATTCAGATTTAACTCAAGAAGAAATTGATGATTTCTTACAATTCGCATCAGAAGCAAGTCAACCACAATTTGAATCTATGACACAATACCCATTGAAATATTCTAAAACTTTGAATAGAGTTTGGAAATTGACTTCAACTCAAAATTTAATAAATTCTCCCGACATTTCAAAAGTGTACATAATGGATTCTGCATCTTATTTCATGGATAATATCAACCGTATCTCAAAGAAAAATTATAATCCTACGGATCAGGATATTTTAAGATCAAGAGAAAGAACCTCAGGTATTTTTGACACAGTTTTAAATTTGGATTCTGATCTAAAAATTCACATCTACGATGTTGGTGGTCAAAGATCAGAGCGTAAAAAATGGATCCATTGTTTTAACAATGTAACGTTGATTATTTTTTGCGTCTCTTTATCAGAATATGATCAATTCCTTATGGAAGATAGATCCCAAAACAGATTCCAGGAATCATTGGTGTTGTTCGATAATATCGTAAATAGTAGATGGTTTGCTCGTACTTCAGTGGTTCTTTTCTTGAATAAGGTAGATTTATTTGCAGAAAAATTGAAAAGAGTGCCGCTTGAAAATTATTTCCCTGATTATACCGGTGGTCAAGATATAAATAAGGCTGCGAAATACATCTTATGGAGATTCGTTCAATTGAATAGAGCAAACTTGAATATCTACCCTCATGTCACACAAGCTACTGACACATCAAATATCAAATTAGTATTTGCTGCTATTAAAGAAACGATATTACAGAATAATTTGAAAGATAGTGGTGTTTTATAATGCAATGAACGTCGTATAACATAGAATCTAGAAGATGGGGAATAATGTAACCAAATTATAATCAATATAATTATAATCATAACCATAATCATAGGAATAACCATAATCATAATCATAATAATAATAATTGTCATAATCATAATCATAATCATAATCATAGAACATAATCATAATAATACAATTGGACATCCTATTTTTCATTGTAGACATTAGAGAATATGTCAAATCGATTTTAAAGAGAAGTTCCCAAGTAGACATCCATTAAGATCGTTACAAATCTCTCTTTTGTAATTTTATAGAAGTCATATAGTTTTCTTATCTATCTTATTTATAAATATACGTTAACAATAACTATAGAAAACAATCAAATGCTAGTAACGATCTCAAACCTTATAACTGAAATCATTTAAATGTCTCAACAAGAATATTAGATGCTGTTGCTATTACCCATATACCACACATAAATAGTCCTACGAAAAACTTTTGATTTTTTAACCAGTTCTGAACCATTTGTGGGCCACCAAAATTTATGCCCAGTAAAAAAATTGAAAATAAAATTGCGACACAGAAATCATAAAGGTCGTATTGAACTCATCTTTACCTTCATCGAGTTTAACATTCCTCAAAAACCACCAGTCTACCTTATTCTTATGCATGAACAACATCGAAAATAAACCACTGACACCAACCCCAATCATCGAATTCAATAACACACCACCCAAGCATGAACTACATGAAATGATGAAGAATTTTGTCGCCATATCTTTTCTATGAGTCGAGTTGTCATAAGGCATTTTACGATATAATCGACACATAGCTATGTTAGATATTAAATCACTAACGGAATTACCCCATGCAAATATTGTTAATCCTAAAATTGCTTCAGAAATACCTGTTTTCTGTTGATATATTTCTAACATCTCAATTAATGCATTGGCAATTAAAGATATCCATAGAATTGAATTAATGATGCTTATTGAAAGAAATACAATTTTGATGACATTTACCAACATTTCCAAAGTCCTTCTATCGTTAGACAATTCAGTACTGTCATTTTCTGTATTTGACAATGATGAAGGCACAAGTGAAAATTTATTGTGTGATGTCAAAGTTTTATAGAATGTCAACATAAGTGACACCAGTACAAATGAAATACTGATTGGAATTGTCCAAAAAAATAAATGAAGGTCTTGATTCAAAATGCAAGTTAAAATTAAAAATGACATTAATGGGCATATGATCGATTGAATGAATAACATTAGAATGTCAATATGGGAAAAATTGTATATTTTTAAATTCTCATCATAGTCTATAATATCGATAGGTTTTGGACATGATAAGCGCAATAAAATTACGAATGGTATCGTGACAATTGAGAGGAAAGCATCTATAAATGACTTTTTAGAAAAATTTAAAAGATGTGGAAGGAACAATCTAAAGAAATTTTCTCTATATTTGCTAGTGAACTTTTGTCTTCTTGACCTTCTTTCCATGTTAAAAGTATGACCGTCCTCAGGATTTCTCATTGGGATATCGTGAAATGGAGGAAATTCACCTGGTGAAGTATGAGGAGGTTCTCTAACATCAGAATAATGAACCGCCGGTACAGGTTCTGTAGTTGCTCTTTCTGGAATCGATATATCAAACTCATTATCTAATAATTCATTATCTGTACTAAAAATATTCTTTGAATTATTATCGGAATTAGACGTTTCTAGCATGGTTAAAATATTATTGTAATCCATTGCGGATAGAATGCTTGGCTTTATATGATTTTTCATTTCATCACCCATTTCTTCATCTTCATCTTCTGGTAAATATTGAGTGGTTAGTTCGTAAGGAACCTCTTGGTCTTCTCTATTTTCATTTTTTTTATTCTTAAATTTAAATTTGACTAAAATATATGCAATGTAAATCATAATCATAGTGAAACAATTCAATATTGTCACTGAATTTTGAAGACAAACATACCACATCAATAGCATCGCAATGCTTGAAAACCCTAGATCCCTTAAAATCGTCTTCCTTTGATGGTTTGTTATATTTAATTCAACAGAAGACATAATCATGAATATGGTACCTTCAACAACACAAAGTATAATACCACAAGCACCTAAAACTTCACCTATAGACAATTGAACTACATTACTCTCAGATGTCGAATAGCCACCTCTAGCATTCCAACTCATAAAATTAGAGAACAGATCAGGGGATGAATTACACCAGGATAATAAAACAGCAGCTAATGCACCAGAACCAACCCCATTCGTATCAGTTAAACTTGCAACACTAGGACATAAATATTCAGATGCACATATCCCCAATACTACAAAATATAATATTATCTGAAGGATACTGGCAATTATAAACTCTGCATTAAGAACAGAATTCTCATATAAAACCTTTGGATGAGTTAGCACTAAAAGCCATCCCATTTTCTGTTAAACTTTAGGCAACACCAACACCAACACCAACAAATATAAGAAATTAAATCCTATTTCACGATTGAAACCTCACTATACTAGACAATCAAATCCCCTATTACAATAACTTTCATGAAATCTAGATGATACTTGGGAAATGATTGAGCTGGTTTTTAAAAAACTAATCATCACCCCTTTTTTCTGACAATTTTTTTTTAAGGGATGTCCTCTTGAAAGTCCGATTATTCGTTTAGAACCAACTTCCTTTTAAAATGGAAAGTTGTATTTGTCTTACCTAACGGCGAAAACAAATATTTAATTTCAATGTCCAAAAACAGTTGGTGTCCCACTGATTCCTTTGGGGAAACAAAGGGGATTTAAATATAATCTACCCTGGTCCTGAGGGGTTTGGAAATTTTTGAACCTTTGAAACACCCGTTTTTTTACACACACCCCCGAATTTT